GGTTTACTTTGTCTGTCTGTACGATGTCACGTTTTTTGTCTGCACGATAAGTCAAAAACGGGAAATGATATTAACTTGAAAATTTTAAGCAAAAATCAAGCTCCATAAGGGGACAAAGCCTATTGATTTTTAACAAATCTGATTAAAAATAGGGGGTTAAGATGGGTTGAAATTAAAAAAAATCCTAAATTAAAAATGAAAAGCGATATCAACATGAAATTTTTAGTAAAAATGAAGCTTTATAAGAAGGTAAAGTCTATTGATACTGAAGGGGGGTTAAGGGGGGTTAAAATATAAAAAAAATCCTAACTGAAAAACGAAAAATGATATAAAGTTGAAATTTTTAGCAAACAGGGGGGGCATCATGTTTCATGGTACATGTCCTGCGGACGTACCGAAACGATGCTCCCCCTTGGGAGGGGATGCCGCCGGAACCACCGGCATATAAACCAAAGGTTTGTAATTTTACTTTTTGGCCCTATAAAATGAAGAAGATTGAATAATAAGGGTAGTATGTGGCGAGAACTGATAGGTAGTATCCGTAATAGATTACCAGCCCTAACGTTTCCGTATCTAGGACCCGGGAATGAAATTAATAGTGAAGTGCCGTTAGATTTCGATGATTACATTGCATTACAACACGATTTAGCTTATTTAAACGCCGAATCGCAACAGGACGTCGAGGTAGCAGATTTTTTAGCAATTCGAGATTTTTTTACAAATTTTATAGCTGATGGAAATACTCATGCATTAGCTGGTGTTCTTGGATTAAGTGTAAAACATCGTAGAAAAATATATCTTAAAACACCAATTATATTCGTTTATTGCACCAATTACTTCAATCGAAAAAAGTTCTACCCATCGAAGTCAAAAAAGGAGAAGAAGCCCTTTAATTATAAAAAAAAATGTGATTAAATATGGGGGATTTAAGGGAGGTTGAAATTAAAAAAAAAATCAAAAATGAAAAGCGATATCAACATGAAATTTTTAGTAAAAATCAAGCTCTATCAGGAGTTGAGGCCTATTGATTATGAAAACAATCTGGTTGAAAATGGGGGTTAAGTGGCTCTGTTAAACTGCACGGAAAAAAATGTGACTAGAAAATTTTACTACAATGTAGTAGTAGTAGACTTGTAGAAAAATACTTAACAATTTGTAGAAAATTTTACTACAATTTATAGTTAAAAACTATTAATTATTGTAGCAATTGAATTGTCGAATAAAATTCTACAACAATAGGAAAGAAGTCCACAATGTTTAGTATATTTTACTATTGTTTGTAGAAGTAGAAATTTATTACAATTATCGTAATTACTACTACTAACTTCTGTAAAAATTTGTACAAATATTAATAATTATCTCTACAAAAAATAGTAATTTTATCTACAAAAAATAGTAATTTTATCTACAAAAAATAGTAATACTTTACATCCCTTCTTATGAAAAAAATTCAATTTTGTTCAAAAATATTCTATAATATTGTAGAAATTCTAAGTCATGTGAACAAAACAGAATTATTGGCCAACGTTTTCTGACGTCGATCATAAATGGCCAGACAACAGTAGCCGTTCGCCATGTTCACATAACAAAGCATGGTACATATACGAGTACCTATAACACATTATTATATTATAAACACCGATGCGTTTGAGAAAATTTTAATAATAAATTCTATTGGTGGTAAGTACATTTATTATTGTTTCTGAATAATTTACCTTTAGATAACTAATTTAAATAACCTTATTAGATTATTTTAAAAAAATAGTTATGGCCAACGATCGAATGTTGTGCCCAACGATCGAATTTTGTGCCAAGTTCAATGATGTTTTTTTGTCTTAATTATGACATACCTACTTTCTCATTTTTGTTAGTTATCTGACTTAGTCATTTAATATCCAAATCAGTGTAAAGGTGATAAATATCCCCGTTTTAAGGGCATGAACAGTTCAATTGGTATTTTTTTTTTTTTTTATTTTGGTGTCATCGGCGTCGACTACTACGGCCATTAGCCTCGTGTTCTGTGTAGGCTTTGTTACTGTTTCCCAGCGCCACTTTAGGAACAGCACTGTTAATTAGAACCCAACAGTGAATGGTCGAGTGGGGAATCCTACCAAGGCATCAGAATTAATTTTAAATAATTAAATTAAATGAAAAAATCCCGGCCAACGGTGGGATTCGAACCTGAGACCTTCCGATCTCAAAGTCATGACTCTAACCACTGAGCCAACCCACCCCCTCAATTGGTATTAATTTTTATTTCATATTTTTCAGGTGCAGAAAAGCCAACTGAGACTGAGGGAGCTATTATTACTGTTATTTATTACATAATGTAATTAAGACTTTGTATATTTTATATTAAAACAATAAATTGAATATTTTATTAAGGAACATCTTTTTCTAGGTTATAATTATAATAATTATGGAATACTACTACAAATTTTATTAAAAATTACTACAATTTGTATGAATTTTTACTATTTATTGTGTAAAATTTTCGTATTTATTTTCATAAAACGCAATACATTTTTAATATAAATTCATACAATGAATAGCAAAAATTATAATAATTTGTAGAACAATTTTTATGATGCATTTGAATATTTTTACTAAATATTGTAGATAATAACTCTACAATACATTCTCCACAAATGTTTGGAAATTTTTACTACAAATTGTCCCTGTCCCTATATGTACTATTTATTGTAGAGAAAAAATCTATAATTGTAGAAATTTGTTCTACAATTTTTTTTCCGTGTGCAAAGAGTATCATTTAGAATGCCAGGCATTATATATCTTTATTCTAGTTTGTGTCTGTGTAATATTATGTATTGTGATGGGACTGATCTTATAAAATAAACATTTGAAACATTTTAGTTCTTATTTTATTTGCCAATAAAAGGTATTTAAAAAATATATTTTTTATGTGACATCTGTGACAAATTGTGAAAATGAATAAACTTACAATAAAAACTAAAAAATGGTAGGTAAAGTGTCATATAAAATTTTTTTCTACATAACCTGATATATATTTAAAAATAATCTCAAATTATGAAGAAAAGTCAGTTTACTAACTAATAATGTTTATAGATGATTTTCAACGTATTAAAAACCAAACAAATATCACGCTAACTAAAATATTCATTTATTAATAGTTGTAGTGCTTGAAAACAGTATGATGTTGATAATAATAACTACACTTAATACAAACTCAAATAATAATATAATAATAATATTGACTCTTGTACAAAGTTTTGATCTGAACTTACAAATGATAAAATTATTGGAAAAAGTGAACACCCATTTTAAATTACCACAAGCCGCCACTGGTTGTGACCATTCACAAAAAGTTACCCTGTGTTCAAAATCGATAATAGTGAGTTCTTGATGTAGTTGCATATGATACGGATGCATTTTTTTTGGAAAGTATTCTTTGTACGGACGTATAACTTATTTCCTGATCTTTTGAAATATTTCTTATACTTGTATGCGGATTTTCGGTAACTGCTAACAAAACATTTAGTTCATTTTCCTCTTTAGTAACAGTTTTTGTTCTATCAATTTTCTAATATGAAACTGACCCTGTTCGGTTAAATTGATCCATCAGTTTTTCGATCGATGTTTTATTTGGCGTTCTACACTCTGGAAATCGTTCTTTATAAACTCTAATTGCTAACAAAGAGTTTTTATTGCATTCTCCCAAAATCCATACCATATCAACTAATTCTTCACGACTATAGTTCATACTAAAAAACTGGCGAGACTTTGTAGAAAACAAATAATCCAACACTAATGACAATAATAACAAATTGTCAGTATTGGGAGTTTTCAAAACAAATTAAAAAAAAATTAATAAACAAAAAATTTTGTAGATTTCATTTGTAGGTTGTGGTTGCAATGTTTATTTCTTTTTCTAATAAATGTATAAGAGACATTACATATTGTCAGAAACTTACTTAATCGATAATAAATAATTACTTCAAGTTAAATTCAATTAATTACTAATGATGAATAAAATGTATTTCCAATCAATTATTTTCTGAATTTTCGTTTTTACCACTAAAATTTAAAAATCTCTAAAAACTATTAACTTTTGGTATAGGGAATGCTTAAGTCAAATTAAAGTATAATTAGGATACTTCTGAACGATGATATAAAATACAGGGTGAACCATTTAAAAAAAATGAGAAAATTATGTATTTGTGTTTTGACTCACCCTGTACAGATTTGATGCGAATTGAAAAAAGTAGTGTTTCCGGATAAAATTTGACCATGACCGAAAAACTGTGGTAGAAAAAAAATTGGTTGTCAATTGTTTCTTTTGCAAGATATAGATCATTGAATTCAATACGATTTTCATACAAAACTGATTATATCCTGCCAAATACCCCGTATAAACCAATAATAATTTATATTTTTAGAATGGGAAAAGCAAGAGTAATTCAAATATAAAATAAAATACAGGGTGATCCATTAAAAATAACATAAGTTGGTTCCTGAAAGAAGTTATTAAACACCCTGTATATTCAAAAATAATGTTAAAATATGTAGTTTAACGTTGTCTACCGTTCTGTAAAAATATTTTTTTATATCTCTAATAATGGCGGAGATATTGAATTTTTTCACACTAATGGATCATTATTCAACCACAGCATTTTTACTAGCTTTGCAATGATGTATGACAAGTAGAGGAATTTTAATTTTTTTTGTTCTATTTCTAAATCGGAATAATCTATAATTTCTAATTACAAGTCAAAAAAATTCGAATTTTCCAATTTTTAAGTCAAAAAATCAATTTTTCTGTATTTCTATCTCGAAAAAAAATGTAGTACATCTATATATGGAAACACATTACCTATTCAATAAAACATAATTATCTAATCACAATCCATAATTAAAAAAAAAAACTACAATCACATTCCGTTTTAGGAAGTACAAATCGACATGGACCATAACAAAATATGCATAACAAATAAATGAATCTAGTGTGCCAAGCAGTGCATCCCATTTGGAGTGCAACCTAACGAGATTCACCGGGTGAAAGTATATTCGCCGGTAGTTTTGGTGGATGTTAGTTAGCCTCTCCTTCTTGGAGAATAAACCCTCTCCACCGAATAGTATATATACCCACCTCCGACGAAGGGTAGGCATCAGTCAGGTTTCGGTTGTTTGGTTTGTTATCATGAAGCCATTTTTGGTAAGTTCTAGATTTTTTTATTAAAATTGTTGAATATCGATAGCAAGAATTTTAGATCTAATATTTATTTAAAATTATTAATGTACAGAAGGTTTAAATTAATTAAATAAACCTTTAATAATATTTCTTAAATTAGAGTTCTTTTGTTACCATTTACATTTTTAGGGACTTTTTCTATTTAAAAAATGTTCCCTTGGTTTTTCATTTTTTAATTTAGGGTGAGATTACAGAACGTCTGCAACTTTGCAGATCTGCAAATATGGCGGCAACTTTGAAAATCTGCAAATTTGACTGACTTACACATGCAAATATCAAGTTTTCGTATTCCAAATTTGGGTTTAGTGTTCTTGGGGGTAATAAACCACAATAAATATTGCAAATTTGCAGATATTTTTTGGAATACTTGCATTTGTAAGTCCGCCATATTTGCAGATTTGCAAAGTTGCAGGTCTGCAAAGTTGCAGACGTTCTGTAATGTCACTCTTATTCTATTCGCGATATTTGATTTTTTGGGGGGGGGAGGTAAGATAGAACAGTAGACTCATAAAGGCTTAGAAGAAACCTATGAATTAAAAAAATATAAGTAGGTCTAAATGTTATTTAAATTTATTAAGGTTTTTTGGGGGTTTTAGTTCAAGTAAGTATGTCAAAAATAATAATAATTATTAGAGAAAAAAAAGAACAAACATAGAAAATAGACTTCAAATATATTAAAAAAACACTTACTAAAAACAAACAAAAATTAATTTTCATTATCATAATAAATGTTAAAAATGTAAGGCCACGAAGTAAAATAGATTTACTCGTGCAAAAATTTAACTAAAACTACAAATTGGTATATTAGTGTCCCAATTCTGTGTCCCGATTATTTACTTTTGTTAATTGTTCCCGGACTATTTGGCTTGCATTTTATTAGGGTGTGTGTGGACCCCCATTTTTTATTACGCCCAACGTAGACCCTTCGAGTCTCCCGTGGACCCCTGGGCGTCCACATGGACCACTTTGGGAAATACTAATCTAGAGTATATTTCTCACAAAAAACCTGCGAGAGTACTACCCTAACATTTATAATTTACCCCCTAGAGAGTTCTGAATAGCAGCATGTTTTGTACTGCTTTCAATTCACGAGCGCTATAGGCCGAACGGATAGTAGTATTCAAATTTTTCAAAAACCTTCTTATACCTAAACAAATACACTTCACAATAGTTTTTGGTTCGAGTAGATAGGAATGGCGAACGTTCAAAGTCTACTGATATTTGTAAAAGTCATTAAAATTGCTTAAGCGCGATTAAAAACTCACGGTCATAGTTCAAGATATACGGAAAAATTTAAAATTACCGTAGAGCGCTAAAAAGTCTTCCATTACTGACCTCTTGTTCAAAAATTATCGCATAAAAAACACAGTTTTTCATTATTTAATTATAATTTGGATATGTTCACCAGAGCATGTATTTAGGCATATTTGCAAAATTTAATTTTTCCGATTTTCTTGACCTACAACCGTGCATCTATAATTAAGTCTCAATCATACATTATTCTCGTTAAAAACACACCCTTTGGAGACAATAATCTAAACTACATTTCTGATTGATTTATCGCGAAGAATTTTCTCTAATTAGTTTGTAAGGGAAAATATAAGGGTAGCAAGTTAGGGGTAACTTTGATAAAATTTATAAAAAATCAGTCAATTTTGTTTCCTCACTTTTTCCTTAATTATCAAGTTATCTACTCAAACAAAAAAACTATTACAAAGTATATTCATTCGGGTATCATGCTGTTTTTGAAAAATATCCATACGATCATCCTTTTAGCTCATAGCGCTCGTGAAATAAAAACAGTGCAAAACATGGGACAATCAACAAAACATGATGCTCTTCAGAACTCTCTAGAAGGTAAACTATAAATGCTACTATAGCACTCTCGCGGGATTTTTTGTGGCAAATATCCTCAAGATGAAGAATGTATAAAAAAAAATTTTTTTTTAATAATACAAGCCAGATAGTCCGGGAGCAAATGAAAGGAGATCATCAAGATATCGAACTGAACCGACATACATAATTGTTCATTTTTATTTGTAAAATTGTGAATTCTAAATATTTTTCTTAATGACCTATAATTGCGGTATTTTTTCTATTATGTCTTTTAAGAAACCTAAAAACCTAGGTACAGAAAACCTATAACTGCCAACTGCCATCCCAGAATATACCAGCTGAGACAAAACTTTATTAATACCTAATTTATTATTAAAATTTGCGAAATGGATGATTAGATATTTAGAAATTGGATTTTCATTTTATTAATTAATTAATTTATTTATTTACTTCACTCATCTGCTCTATATAATAAATATTATGTGGCTAATTAAAAATTTAAATTATCCTGAACTGAAATTAACAAATTATTAAAGAAAGGACAAACTATTATTATATAACTCAAGAGAAGTATTATTTACTTGGCTTCAATGCAACATGTAAGAGTTTCGTAGTACCCCCCATTTTTAGGATTATTTTTTTAATTTTATTAAAAAAAAATATGTATGTAAAGGTTAAATCTGAAATCACTTTTTTTAAATTTTATTTTTTTTTTTTCTGAAAGAAGCCTGTATTTTTTTTTGTGTCTTTGGCTTCAAGAACTTAGGTCATTATCCTGGTGTAGGTTAAGAATTGTACTAGTAGTCTAATACTCCATAGTGCAGAAGTGCTAGTACTCTAATACTCCTAAACCCCTACAAACAGATACCAACAAATTTTGAAATAGTGGATTTACACATACATATTTTATGCTTTCACTAAAAATTAAAAATATTACGTACCTTGTGAAAAAAAAAAACTTAAAAAACGTCGATTTGACAAATTATATGTGAGCATCCCTTCAAAAATTTTAAATAAGAAATAATTTCGAGAAACATCTTGTTCGAAAGGGATCTTAATTACCTCTTTAGCTATATAAAGTTTTTTAAATTTGACGCAATAATAACTAAGAAAATTAATTTTGAAAATGTAAAATTTTTTATTGTTTTTTTTTTATTATTATTTCAGATATCCACTTTAGTGTTAGCAGTCGCCGGCATAGCCATATGCGGCGAGGCCACCAAAAAAGTAGAAAACAAAAACGAAAAACGCGGCATCCTTTCCAGTGACATCGGAAGTGGATACGGCGGTGGCCATGGAGGCGGTATTGATTTTGATATCGACTTGGGTAGTCATGGAATCAGTGGAGGTAGCTTAGGAGGACACGGAGGTAAGAACAGAATAAAATACTATCGACTTAACTAATAAAAACAAAAAAAATGTAGAAGATTTCGTAAAAGATACTTCTTGATTGGTCATGTAAAAAAATAAGGATCAGAATCAAAAAGATATAGACCCTTGTAGAAGCAGATAAGCTTAAAATGTGATCTACACAATAATTCCAAGATTTTTAATTTGATTAACAGAGTCTAAGCTATGCCAATTTAAGTTATAATCAAAAAATGTAGTTAGGAACAATAAAAATGCATGACATATATTGCCATTCAAAAAACATCATTCTAACAGTTTATCGAGATCAGGCTGAATTCCAAGGACATCATCATGATTTTTAGCAATTTAGAATATTAAACAATAAATAATATCATTAATAAATAAGTTAAATAGTAAGGGTCCTAGATGTGACCCCTGAGGAATACCTAAAGTTACTTAAAATGAGTTATAATAGTGACGAATAATTAGTTTAATCTCGAGTTATATTGCTTTAATAGCTTGAATCTATTGTCTATTGCAGTAATGCTCCATATTTAATAAGTTTTTAAGTAAAATAGTTTAATTAACCCTGTCAGAAGCTTTAGAAAGATCAGTATATACAAAATTGATTTGTAAACCTTTTTATTGGGCGATTATATGGAAATATAAAAAGATATATTGACTTTGAGTGACATTTAAATCAATATTTACTTTTCTCTCTCTTTGTTATTCATCTCATCCTTGTGGAAACAAATTAAAATTTAATTATTTAAATCCTAGGTGGAATCAGCTATGGAGGCAGTCTTGGAGGAGGCTACAGCGGCGGCCATGGAGGCAGTCTTGGCGGTGGATACGGAGGAGGTGGTTATGGAGGCGGTGGTTACGGAGGTAGTATTGGAGGTGGTTACGGAGGTGGTTACGGAGGAGGTATTGGAGGTGGTTACGGAGGTGGTCTAGGAGGCGGTCTAGGAGGCGGTTTCGGAGGTGGTCTTGGAGGTGGTGGTGGAGGCGGCGGCGGCGGCGGTGCCACTGTCAGCGTAATTAGCCAAGCTGTAGCTGTTCCAGTTCCACAACCCTACCCAGTCACTGTAACTAGACCCGTAGCAGTACCTGTAGCTCAACCCGTTGCCGTACCTGTACCCAGACCTGTCCAAGTAAGTAACATTGGATTCTATCATTTTAGAATCACCTTATTTTTTAATTTTTCCTTATTACCCTGTTGTTGTTTTAGGTATCAGTTCCAGTACCTCAGCCCGTCGAAGTACCAAGGCCATACCCAGTAATTATCACTCGTCCAGTACCAGTAGCAGTACCTACTCCAGTACGCGTTGCAGTACCGCAACCCGTTGGTGTACCAGTACCTCAACCATACCCTGTAACTGTACCTCAACCCGTTCCAGTTAGAGTACCACAAACTATCGTAGTACCCGTTGCTCAACCGATCCTTGTTGGAGGTGGTGGTGGAGGTAAGAATAAATCATTTAAATTTATAATGGATTTAAGTACAAGAACGACACAACAAAAGTTTCCCGTGTCTATTTAAAAGGGAGGTTATGATATTTTGACAATTTTCTTTTTTATTATCTGGTAAGGCTATAAGGACTAGAGAGAAGTTTTCATATTCACGGTGTCAAACGTGAATTCACTTTTTTGTACATTTATGATAAAAACTGAGGATGTGATAATATTAACAGACATTTTCATATTCCTTCAACATTCTAAATCCAACAACTACGTTGGAACCAATACAAAAAGTTGCCTATTAAGTAAAATGTACAAAAATCGAAGCATTTTCGTTAACAATCAGGAAGCCTTACGATTGTAGTATGTTTTATTAGGTTTCAGTAATGGAAAAAGTGCTAATTTTCAATCTTGAAAAGGATATTTTGATTTTAGTAAAAAATATTTAAAATATTTGGAAAATAAAAACTACTGATGACGTTTTTAACAAACAAAAACAGGAAAATGTTAATGAATTATATACGTCTATTGTTTCAGGTCTTAAACATCCTTCATTTTGTTTTTTTTTTTTTTTTAATTACTTTTACAATAGTGACTAGTTTCTTTACTGCTCAAATGAACTCCTTCATTGTTCTTCTTCTATTTCGATGATTCCTTGCTTCTTGGGACATCCAGCCCTCTTTATAAATTATACCAGTGCCATCTAACGTTGAAACTCATTAAGAAGAATGCAGACAGTGTTACAGACAGTAAAATTACTACAAAATACCAAATTCATTGGCAACCAACGAATACATCAATGGTATATTAAATGAAAATACATTTGTGTTGACTTGGTGACTAACTAACTATAAAGTACTTACTGACTCTAGATATCCAACACAGCAGGAGTACCAACCTGAAATCAGAAAAACAAATCAATACATTAGCCCCAAAAGAGGTATTTTGAGCAAAATATAGAGAGTACACTCTTTCGCAAGAGTCACATAATACACTTTTTTTAATTTAGACTTAAAAGTAATAGTTTCTACTTTGAAATTGAAACTGTGAAAGAAGATATTTTTTACTACTTCCAAACGACATGAAACATTTTTAAAGCAACTTAGTAAGTCACTCTTGCGCTATTCCAAGATGGCAGAAAGATTGGTGCAGTTGATTAAGCTTGCTCAGACTTTTCTCTAACGTCACGTGAGCACATATGCGATCAAAGAGTCATTCTTGCTATTCCAAGATGGCAGAAAGATTGATGAAGTTGATAAAGCTTGCTTAGACTTTTCTCTAACGTCACGTGAGCAAATATTTGACTTTAAAATAGAAATTAAAAAAATAAAATGTGCAATATACTTGAAATAAATATAACAGAGGGTATCAAGATTTTCATTGTTATTATATTAGCAATACAATATTCACAGAACAATGAACAGTAACAGTCAACTGTCATACGTCATCGTACAGTACCAACTTAAAATATTACAGAAATTAAAACATAAAACTCATTTTTTTAATTTTCAGGTGGAATTGGAGGTGGATTAGGAGGTGGAATCGGTGGCGGACTCGGAGGTGGATACGGAGGCGGTATCGGAGGTGGATACGGAGGCGGATACGGAGGCAGCATTGGAGGTGGATACGGAGGCAGTATTGGAGGCGGCTACGGAGGTAGCGGTGGCTATGGAGGACATGGAGGCTCCATTGGAAGCTCTTACTCCAGTTCAATTTCTCACGGTAGTTCTCTTGGAAGTGGACACGGCATTTCCTTAGGAGGAGGTTATGGAGGTGGTCACGGAGGAAGTTACGGAGGAAGTTACGGAGGTGGTCATGGTGGAAGCCTGGGAGGTTACTCAAGCGGTCTAGGTGGTTACTCAGGTGGGCACGGAGGAAGTTTGGGAGGCTATGGCGGATCCATCAGCATTGGAAAATCGATCTCAGTAGGCGGAGGTCATGGGGGTGCCTCCAGTTATTCCAGCATCTCGCATGGTTACTCAAAACACTAAATTTTTTAAGACTAATTTTTGCTCATACAAAAAAAGATAATTAGGCGATTTGAAAAGTTATTGATCAATGTGATAGCAGTATTTTTTTATTGTTTAAGAATGTATATATTTTGAGACTTTAATAAAAAGTATATTTTTTTACCAACATGTTTTTTCTTCAAACGTTGCAATTTTTAAAATTCATTTTATAAATAATCAAATATAAAAATATGTTTAAAATTTCAAAGAAGCAAATATCTGTCACTTCTCTGAGGTGCCCAGTTGAACCTGGTATACTCATTTCCTTATTGGCAAACCAAATGAGGAGGAGCATCATTTTGCTGGAACCAAATGGTTTTGTCTACTTCATTATTTTTCCCCAGGGTACAAGGTCATTACTGTTGGAACGATATCGGTCTAAAGAAGGTTTAAATATTGTTCTTAAGGTACCATTTCGGAACGCGAGACCTAGACAGGCGACAAGCGACCGCGTAAGAAGATCGAAAAGGTGTCTCTTACGTCTAAATCACATGTAATTAAATAAATCACATTTGGGACAGAGCGACCGTTGCAAGAGAGGTGACAGCACTTCTAACACGGCGGTGTTTACTGCCTTGTTGGCTGTCGCCTGTTGAATGTCTCGATCTCGCGTTCCTAAATGGTATCTTTAGATTGCACTCAATCAAAAATGGGCCTATTATGTGTTGGTAAATGATTCCTATCCATACATTGATCTTTTGAGGGTGCTCTATGAGAGTTTTAGCCTTGTCAGTAGCACCAATTATGGCGGTTAACAGATCCACTCAGCATTAATGTGGCTTCAACCAAAAATAAAATGTCTCTTGAAAAATTTGAATACCGATTACTGTTGTGTCTTCCCTTAAAAACTTGAAGATAGAGGAAGCGAGAAAGAAGATACAAGTGAAAAATTATAAGAAATAACACAATTCAAAGAATGTGTCCGAGTTAAACGCTAATGATCCTGTAGTATAACTTTTATGCGACTTATAAGTCATGTAAATTATTTAATAAGTTTGTCTTAAAATTGTTTAAATGATTAATAAGTTTATAACTTTAAATTGTTTAATTAATTAATAATTTCGTGTCTTCAAATTTCTATTTTTTTTTGTTTTTATACATAAACAGGGATATGTGTAATCTATTATCTTTCCTACTGATAGGCAACCAGTAATACATTGCGCTCTATGCAACCAGTAATACACTAGTTGGCGATTGGGACATTAGGATTAGAGGTTTTGGTACATACACGAAAACACGTTAGAGGATGTATATTGAGTTTCAAGCTTTAATAAACAACGAGTGATATTTGTACTCAACTCATGCTAGAAAAAAAAATTTTTCTATGTCTAGGAGTGGAGATATTTGATTCCTATTAAATAATCCGAAAATTCCCTTTGGGGTTGATTGGCGCCCTATTTGACCTTGCAAGTCGTTCACTTTAGGACAGGTTAAAGTGGTATTTATACCTAACTTATGCTAGCCAAGTGCTAGCCTCAGTCATCTGTTTTGTGCCCTTTGTAATGGTAAAAAGTATGAATTTGGCATTGAGCAGTATACTGGACAACCATATGTCAGAATCGGCCTAAATCACATACTTTGATTACTATACGAAGCAAGAGAGAGGTCCGACACGCCCAACATAGAGCGCGGCCATTTTGAACCCTATGACACAGTTTATAGCTAAAGAATCAGATCGCTCACTCTGCCTCAGCACTTTTGATCTCAATGTTCCAGTTTATACACTGCGCAACTCGGATAATACAATATATGACAACCGCCTATAATAAAACAGCAGTCTTCTGCGTATCCTGAATTTGTATCCCTGGAGTGGATGTTATTTTGGAACTTTCAACTGGTCCGAGTAAGCTAACTGATTCTTTAGCAATAAACTGTGACTTCCAAAATAATATTCACTGACACTGACAGCAGCAAGCAAAATATCAGGTGCGTTTTAATCATCCGCTTCTGCTTCCGGAATTATTGGTTTAGTCGTTTTAACCTGTCAGATTAAAACAAGAAAACCGACAATTCCGAAGCAGAAGTGGATGATTAAAACTTACCTATTAAAAATATTGCGCCAAGATGTAGGCAACACGTAACAAGGGATTAAAATGGTGGAGTTTTCTATCTCCTTTTAAAAGGCACTCAGAAAGCTGCGAAGTGCGACCATTCTCCGTATAGTAAAAGAAAATTAAAGTATGTGGCCTAAATACTGTTTTATAGAGTAGAAGTTTGTTCGACAGGGATAACTTGCTTCGTCTATTCATTTAGGGGTACAGAGACCTCAGAATACCCGATTGTTTAGCTACCCTGTCTTTCATGTGGGTCTTGAACAATAATGTCTTGTCTAGCCGAAAACCAAGATATTTTATTTCTCTTTTAACCGTGCTAGGTTGATTTTTTACCTGAATGGGCGTGTCTATGCCTTGGACACGCCTTTTTGAAATTATTATAGATTCGGTTTTCATAGAATTTACTTTCATTTTATTTTCGGCTAAGTAAGTCATTAATGCTCCATTAATATGATCATCCAGCCTACTGCTCGCTATTTGGGCTGAATTATGGCTAGTGAATATACAAATATCGTCGGCGTATACTGCGCCGTTTGTACCCTATTATGTCCCATTGGTAGATCATAAGTCCTGTGGTACTCCCGCCATTGCTAGGAAACGTCCTGTTATTGAATTTATTGTTATTTCAGATAATTTCTTCATATAAATATCTATTAGGTTGCTACAAATCGTTGAGCACAAGCAACCAATGTTTAACTTTTAATATGTACAATATATTTGATTTGCAAACGACAATAAAATAGAAAAAACGTTGATTGAAACCACCATCTTGGACCAAGTGACAGCGTCTCCCTACATTCTACCTCCATGATTACCGTTATCTAAAAAATAGACTACAAAACCACATTTATTGGAATTATTTTTTAATATTTTCAAAAGTTACATTCATTATTCCACATATTGGACCCACCCTGTATAATGATTTAATGAATTTTTAATAGAGTTGGACCATCTTTCACGAACTGTTATTTTAATATTTTATTCTTAGTAAACAAATCATCTTTACATGTTTTTATATCAATTTCTTAAATGTTTACCAAAAAAATATTAAATAATATCTAATTACTTGATGATCTGAAGAAACAACGTTATTTTACTAATCGCAGTAACGAAACAAAGTGTGATTAAAAAATAACGATATCGTCCAACTCTACTTTTGTTCTAAATTGACATTTCTATCTTTAAATATTTACGTTTATTTAAAAACGATTTGTGAATACATATGTAAATGAATGAAAAAGACGAGTTAGGAGTTTGAATTACATAAATTAGAATAAATACTCGTATTTATTTAAAACTACTAAATAAGAATTGCTGACTACTAGAAAGCACGAGGCCAATAAATTATAACAAAAAAAGAAGAAGATTTAAGGTTATACATTCTTTGTTGTTTTCGTCAGTTTTGTTATGTTTAAAACAACTAGTTTTTCAAGAAAATGTTTATAAAACTAAAGCATTTTTAGTTCTATAGGTATATAAAGTGCTTAATTTAAAATGGAGTGTAATTTTTGTGGTTCAACAAGAGACTGTGTTAAAAAAACCAACGAATACTATGTGGATATGTTGTATATTGTTATACCAAACTTTGTAAGTTCATTTTTTATTTAAATATGATTAGATTTTTGTTTTAAAGATACAAGAACAGTGAATATTTGTTGTACATGTTCATAACTAACTTTTTTTACCTATTTCCCTAGTTAGATTTAAAACAAAAATAGTAAATACATTCCTCTCTAAACATATAGATATTGTTTGATATTTTACTCATTGAACGAAGACTGAAAGGTAATAGCAAACAAATATGATACTTTATGTTAAAAATAGCAGTCCTATTTAATTATTTAAGATTTTATACACTTTCCAAATACATTGAACATAAATAGACTGTCATATCTAATCACAATCATAAAAAACCAAAAAGATAGTTACTTATCCTGTAAAGCAATGTGGGTTGATTCAGTTATTAATAAAAGCAAGTACTTTTCATTCCTTTACTAGGTATAACTTGCTAAATACATTAATTTCTTTACAAAGCATCCAAAACAAAGTAAGTATAGAATAAAGATGCGTTTAGTCAGCCTGATTTAGTTTTAAGCATTAACATAGACATTATAAATTTAAGAAGTTTATAAAAAGACAGTTTATACAAAATATTTATAAACATTAGCATAAGATTTGACATTTAACACTGAAAAAACTGTGTGATAGCTGCTCTGATAACTATGGCACCATTATTATTAATAGAAAGGCATAGAAATAGAGTTAGAAGATATAAAGTTAGGCCAATAAATAAAGAAATACAGAAAGTGTAGGATTTGAAGGGTGAATTTGATAATGAACAATTTATCAAGTATGTGAGATCATTTCCAGTCTTCAATAGATCCATATGTAGTAAAAGATGCTACAAAAAATCCTTTATTGCCAGAACACCAGTTTATAATGATATTAAAGTACTTAAATACTACAAACTTTTTATCTGACTCAGTGTTGCACAATAAACCATGTTTTAGTTACCTTGAAAAGGGCTGTACATAAAACTATTAAAGAAACACTGACAATATTCCTGCCTCAGCAACCTCAAAAACATTTAATATCATAGAAATAGAATTCAAAATTATGTTAGAGCTGTGGATGGAAAGAATGTAACCATCTAAGCACTGGCACACTCTAGAAGCAGTAGAAGCAGTCTGTGTTGCCTATTATAGATTTGTGTTTGGGGTCAAGGCACGATTCAGATGTGTTTAGGGGTAGTAAATTTGGTTCTGCTGTTTTAAATATGCAGGAAAAATTACCACCTCCAAAGGAAGCTTCCATATTTTATTGTAGATGAATCTGCCTTTCCACTATATGAAAATATCCTGAGACCTTATCAAAAAGAATTTTCAATTATTGCTATTGTAGTAAAAAGGATTTGCTTGTTTCCAAAAGAAAATGGAATTTTCTGATTATATTGATGATTTGGGTAACATGCACTTAGGCAATTGGAGAAAAGATGGTGTGGGTTCAATAAGGAATATTCATCATATTGGAGCAAATAATTATGCTCAAAATATAAGACTTAATAGAAATACTTTGGCAAAATATTTTGTATATATCCAAATGGAAGTCATCCATGGTAGTAAAATCATGTATTATGGGGATATTTACCAAGATAGTAATTATTATTTATAAGTTTGTTAATCTAGTTTAGAAAGAATAATAAATAAATAGGTGAAATAATTATTTTCAACACTGTTCGATAAATAATTGTTCAAAAAGTTCAGTCCTTTTTGGAAAATAAAAATAATATATCTAAAAAACTCCAAACTAATAAAAAATACTTTAATAAAATAAATTCTGTTTGTAAATTTAAAATAATAAATATAACAAACTTCAAACTAAAACCAAATGCCTTAATTAAATAAATCTTTTCTCAAGCTATGGTATCCAACAAAAAGTTTCTAAACATACAGGAGTAACTATTGATAGTAAGTCTCTAGTCGATTTTGTATTAACTAATGATGATAATTGTGATGCTGAAGTTCATGATACTCTGAAAATCAGTGATCATTCTGTGATTTCTGTAATTTTTTCCAATACAAGCAATACTTCAAACAAAGTTATAAAGAAGTATATTAATTATAATGAAACTAACATTTTTAATATACAAAATGATCTGATTATGTGCAACTGGAATCTTAATACTATTGATGTTGAAGTAATTTATCATGAGTTATATTCAAATTGTGAAAGAGTTATTAATAAGGTTTCCCCTATTCAGACATGTACCATGGTTTGATAATGAGGTTTACACTAAAATTAAAATCCAAGATAATGCTTACAAGTCTTTCAAGTCATGTGCAGAACATCAAAAGCTGAATATGGAATAAATTTAAAAAATGTTGAAATGAGATAGTTTATGTGCTGAAATCAAAAAAAATCTACTTATTATTTTAATAAAATTGATTGTTTCAAAGAAAATCCTAAAGAGATGTGGAAAACTTTATAAAAACTAGTAAATATTAAATTAAATGATGTGACTGATCATGTTCAATTTAGTGATTAAACAGGCCATATTATCCTTTATGATATGTTGACATAGTAACTAAATTTAAGGAACATTTTGTTGAAAGTATTATGGATAATATTGGAAGTATTGATGCAACTGTTCCCTGGCATAATCTAAACAATAATTTATACTTACCATTTCACAACTTTAATTTAATAACTTTACATGACTTATATAAAATTTTGAACTCATTAGATAATAAATATTCTGCATTTAATATTATTAATTCTAAAGTTCTAAAGGAAGTGTATGCAACAATTGGGCACATTATTTTAAACTTAAATAGTACCTCACTTGATACTGGCAAAGTTTCATCTGAACTAAAAATTAGTACTATTGTTCCAATTCAAAAAGTTAATAATACAATAAAATCTAAAGAATTTAGGCCTGTAAATACTCTCCCGTCAATTGAAAAGGTATTAGAGCTGGTTGTGTAGGAACAACTACTTGAACATAATAATTCTATTTTAATAACTAACCAGTCTCGGTTCAGAAAAAAGTATTCCTATGAGTCTGCATTACAGTTAATGGTGACTAAATTTTAAAATGATGTGGATGAGAATAAATATATAGTAGCTGTTTTTTTAGACCTGAAACGTGCATTTGAGACCATTGATAAGGGTATTTTACTTAAGAAAATTCAACAATATGGTGTAGGTGTAAAGTATACCAGTGGCTGAATGATTATCTGCAAGGTCGTAGACAAAAAGTACATTTTAACAATCAGATATCACCCAAGATTAACACTGACACATGGGTTCCGCAAGGAAGTGTTCTAAGGCCGCTTTTTATACTATCTTTGAATGATATTGGACTGTTTGTTGATTGTGAATTCATTAATCTCTTTGCTGATAACACTCTGCTAGCATGCTCTGATATAAATTTAATGAGTGCAATCGAAAAAATGAATAAAATACTGGAGAAAATTGCCCAGTATTTTCAACTTAACAAATTGAAATTGAATGTAACTAAAACAAAAGCATTTATTTTTACAACTAAACATAAATATAGCTTACTTGATATCAATGATGTTAATTTACAAATAAATAGTGAAAAAACCGCAATAGTCCCAACTATTAAGTATTTAGGTATCCAATTAGATAATCTACTTACTTTTGATGATTTCTTTAATTATATTAATAAAAAAAAATTTGAAAAAATTATATTTCTTCTCTAGAATTTCAAATAACTTGTCAACTTCAACTAAAATAACAGTATACAATTATTCAGCCTCACTTCGATTATTGTGCCTCCATTCTTCATTTATTTAATCTCACAAAGTTAAATCAACTTCAAAAACTACATAATCGAGGCATGCGCATAATATTAAAAACTAATTGTCTTGCACCAATTGGCACAATGTTAAATTCTCTTCAATGGTTTTCGATTCAGCAAAGGTTGTACTACTTGACAATTATGTTTATTTATAAAATAATTCATTCTTTGGCTCCATCCTATTTTCATCAATTTATTTGTTATCATAAAGATATTCATGATTACAGCACAAGATCAACTAACAATATATACATTAAAAAAGTTAATTATTGGCATCGTTATTGTATAAAGGTTTCCAAGAATATAATAAACTGCCCAGGGGCTTGAAGGATTGTAATTCATTAGCAAGATTTTAACTTTTATATATTTGATTATTACTCTTCTATTTTACTTTTTTATTCTTCTTTTTTAATATTTGGGTTCATGCTTTCAACTGTTATTTGTTTTATTGTTAATTAAGGCTGTCTAAACTCAAGATTAAAAGTATCTTTGTAATGTGTAACAAATTTATTTTTATTAACTCATATTAGTTAATAATAATTATCTAAGTTTTAAGTGTACTGTATTTTTATTTCTATAATATTTTTTTTTTGTATATTAGGTTTATCCTACTTCAATAAATATCTATCTATCTATCATAAATTCAATCTGTTTGTAAGTAATGTTAAAATAATATAAGTACCTAACAAACTCCAAAGTAATAAACTACTTTCAATTTTCATAAATTATAAATAATACAACTCCAACCAAATAAAAAATATTTTAAATAAGTAAATTAAGTCCTTTTGGAAAATAAAAATTATATAATGAAGCCAAAACTAGTATCAAACTACTTTAAATGAGTAAATTCCGTTCTTTTGAAAAATAAAAATAATATAACAAACTCCAAACTAATAAAAAATACTTTAAATTAATTAATTTAGACTTTTTGTAAATTTAAAATAATATAACAATTTCCAAACTAATAAATTACTGTAAATAAGTAAATTAAGTCCTTTTGGAAAATAAAAATTATATAATGAACCCAAAACTAGTATCAAACTACTTTAAATGAGTAAATTCCGTTCTTTTGGAAAATAAAAATAATATAACAAACTCCAAACTAATAAAAAATACTTTAAATGAATTAATTCAGTCTTTTTGTAAATTTAAAATAATATAACAATTTCCAAACTAATAAATTACTTTAAATAAGTAAATTCAGTCTTTTTGGAAAATAAAAATAATATAGTGAACCCCAAACTAGTATCAAACTACTTTAAATGACTAAATTCCGCCCTTTTGGAAAATAAAAATAATATAACACACTCCAAACTAATAAAAAATACTTTAAATGAATTAATTCAGTCTTTTTGTAAATTTAAAATGACATAACAAACTCTAAACTAATAAAAAAACTGCTTTAAATAATATAAATTCAGTCCTTTTGAGAGAGAGAGAGAGAGAGAGATATGCTTTATTGTCGTAAAAAAATTTACAAAAATTTTATAGACAAAGCGTGTAACTTAAATACTAAACATATTATAAAAATAACTAAACAAACAGAAACAAACAGACAAAATAGGAATAACAATTGCAATGGATATGCAATATCCGTCATTATAATTATTCTAATTTAATTTTTAATTATTTAATATTTAATATTTAATTATTTAATTAATGCCATTGTACATATGTGGAACTCAAATGTCTAAGGTACGTTATAAAATTCTGCTACTGTGTAATATGGTCTTTCTAGAAGAAAAGCTTTAGCCAGTCTTCGGAACTTATCGTATGTATTTATAGATTTTAATTGCATCGGAAGGTTATTATACAATTTTTTGGCATTGTAGGTAATGGAATGTTTTAATAGGTCAGAAGTGGGCATTGTTAAATAAACATCAGTCTCTAAATTTCTTAAACAATGGGAAACAAAAATAATTTAGCAAGCTCCAAACGAAAAACAAATAAGTTAAGTCAGTCTTTTTGTAAATTAAAACTAATATAACAATCTCCAAACTAATAAACTACTTTAAATAAATAAATTCAGTCTTTTTGAAAAATAAAAATAATTAGCGAAATATCTTTAGATATATTAGATAGTGTCAATGGATTTATAAAAATTAAAAAATACAAAAATACAATACAAAAAAAAACAAAAAATATAAAAAAATACTTACAAAAATGCAAAAATACAAAAAAAATACAACAAATAAAAATTTTTAAGATATTTTTTACAAAAACTAATTTTTTTAAAGATATATTTTAAATTTTTTTTTAGACGCCATTTTTCGCACAACTGCTGTCAAATTTTCAAGCATATTAGGCAATAACATACCGATCTAAGTAAAGAATTCTATTTTTTAATCGTAAGAAAAAATACAAATAAAGAAAAACCGACAAAAACAACAAAAAATACAAAAAAATATTTTTTTAATAAATTTTTTTTATATGTCCCATTATTCATTCAACTGCTGTCACATTTTAAAGCAGATTAGGCAATAACAAACGCCGTTACTCAATTCATGCATTTTCATATACATCTTAGATTTCATTAATTATCAAGTCAAATAATTATTTAGTTACCAAATTATTTTATCGATAGAACACAATGCCACAGCTGACCACACACTCGACACTCAAGGTAACTCACCTCGTTCTGCCCAGGAGAGTGCAGCCGACGGTACGCTACCACCGCCATCACTTCCCGCCCCGCCCCCCCCCACTCTTGATTGCCAATGTGCTTTACCATAATACAATTAACAAAAATTTGTTTACCTGCTAACACGGCCATACTGATCTATATTTCGCTCTCGAAATATTCTTTTTTTTTTATGTAACGACTGGTTATTAATTTGTATTTTAATTTATAAAAATATTAAACAAAAAGAAATAAAAATAACAAGATTACAAGATTAGCCGTCAAATTCTTTCCACGCCAATTATTTCGAAAAAGTTTCCTGCTCATCCTCTCGTCACATTCTGGGACGAGGCAAAACCTTGCATTTTTAAATAAGTGACACAACACCCCATGTCTTATAATTTATAACACTTTATTCAAGATTTTAAAATAATTTAAAACACAATCTGCTCTTTGGATATCAACAATATCCGTCCGACATTTTTCAAATAATATGTTTAAAATAATTTTAAAATAAAAACTATGCTCCTCGAATTTCAACAATATCTGAAAAAAACTATAAACTAAAGTTCAGAGGTACTCCTCCTCAAATATTTAACTGACCTATACTTAACTTTTTTTTACTCACCAAAGCAAAAGCTTTAAATGGAAGTTCAGAGGTACTCCTCAGATATTAAATTCACCTGTACTTAACTTATTTAACTTTGTTACTAAATAAAAACAATAGAGAAGTTCGGAGGTACTCCTCAGGGATTAACCTGACCTGTACTTGACTTTCTGGTAACATGAAACAACATTAACCTGACCTGTACGTAACTTTCCGAATGGTAGAATCAACAGTTAATCGTAATTTGGAAAGAGCGCTCGTTAATCCTGACAAATTTTCCCAGTAGCGCGCCTTTGCTATAATTTAATGACTTGGTCACTAGATAGCTTTATTTTTAACTCAGTGGTATGTATTATTAAATAATTATGTCCAAACTTAAACAAATTTAACAATAAATGTTTAAGTTTCTCTGCGTTTTATTTTTCTAAGCTTCTCTCAGCCGATCATTGATGAGACAATATAAATTCCTTTTAATGAAGAAAACATTTTTTTTTCGTCGAATTTCTACCAAAATTAAAAGGTTACAAATAAAGACACTTGTAACCACTCACATCTTTCGCTTATCGCTAGGCTAGGACCACCCTATCATGACTCACGAGTGCTACTCATATTTCGTAGAACGATACGTCGGACTGGGACGCATAAGAATTTTGGTGATATAAGAACAGGAGCACGGCATTCTTACATAGCCATTCATTCAATACGTTTCATTTTATGTATTATTGATTAAATTTGATTCTATATTAAAATCCGATTTATTTCATTTAAAATTAATTAATATAGTTTACACACTATCTGTCAAAAATAACGTAATAGATCACTGCTAAATTATCCCATCATAAAAACAAATTTTGGAACATATACCATTGCATTCAATTCTAAATGGTATTCTACTATTTTTAAAAGTTATGTTGCGTGCACCTTTTAACGTTATCAGTGCTCTAAATTACAATTGGATTAAAATCAATAAATAATATAATTTATTCGAGAGCTAGATGGTTGGTAAGTTTCTTTTTAAAACAATAAGCTCCATAGTGGCACTTTTTTTTTTTCAAAACACGAAAATACCATTTCTATTGGCTATTATTTACCCTTATAGGATGACGCTGTTTCAAATGAATACCATCATGTCGCCAATAACAATTTCAAACAATCAATCAACTGATAAATTTAACGAATTAATACAAAAATGACATTCGCCAATATGGCCAATAACAATCTTAACAATCAATCAACTGATAAATTTAACGAATTAATAATCTTGGAAATACTCACAGGAATGGTCAACCCCCAGGTACTTCCATGGTACTTTTAGTGAATCCTACTTCTGATCTTAGATTTTATTAATTATCAAGTCAAATAATTATTTGTTTACCAAATAATGACGGATAGAACACAATGCATAAGAATTAGCCACATTAGACATTCAAGGCAACTCACTTCGTTCTGCCTGGGGAGGTGTCGACGGTACTTTGCTACCGCAAACGTTTCCTCGCACCCCCCGCTCTTGACTGCCGTTGCTCAATGAGTAATCACACAAAAAATTGTTTACCTGCTAACATATACATATAAAAAAAAAAAAATAAAGAGAAATAAAGAAAAAATAAAAAAAATACTTAAAATTTTTCATGAAATTTTTTATTTTCAATTTTTTTTATATTCGCAATTTTTCATACAACTGCTGTCAAATTTTCAAGCAAATTAACATATGCTGTTATTGTCGATCCAAGTAAACAATTCATACATAAAAATAAAAAAAAAATATTAATACTAATATGTTTCATAACGCAAAATTCATATCACATCCGTATTTGGTGATTGTGGAGATGTGTCTCTATTTGTATTTGTAGAATTCAGCGAGAACAATTCAATGCCGCGAACCGCATAAACGTAACTCAAATGGTTGCCTAATTATTTAATTTTAAAATTCCATTTTAGAATCCAGAAGAGTATACAAACCCGAATATTTGCCAAGACTGTGATAACTTAGTTACTGATATTTTCAATTTCAAAACAATTTGTTTGGAATTCGAAGACAGCCTCTGTAATTATAAAACCGGAGATGCAACCGAAATTGATTTGGAAAAACTAGTTGGGCTAACATCATTCAGCAAAGGCAAACTTTGCAGAGCTTGTTTCGAAGAAATCGAAGATGATTTATTTGTAAATTTCAATGTCGGCGATAGTGTACTCAAGCAGTATCAAAGGAAATGCCTGTTTAATTTGGTAAGTAATATCGATTTTAAATAATTATTTAGTTACTAATGCATAAGAATCAGCCAACAACCACAGCTGATCACATTAGACACTCAAGGCGAGTCAAATCGTTCTGCCGGGAGGAGCGCTGACTATGGTTCGCATCAGTTCCCTGCTCTTGACTGCCGATGTGCTTTACCCATACTACAATTAATAAAAATTTGTTTACTTGCTAACACAAGTAAAGGAGCAACAAGAGAACGGCCTCATTCCTTATGTAAATTAACATGGGAAATCGCTAAGGTTCATTCTGGCAATTTTTGTCTCTTTCAAGGTCACTCGTCTTGACGTCACGTGTCATGACGTCACTAGCCAACTGTTGCTAACCTTACTCGACCTTGTTGTCAGCCTGCTACATCTACCGCTATATGGAGTCACTTATTAATTAATTTATTAATCCGCAACTTACTATACATCATTATCACAGCAACTCAACATACACCATTAATTATTTTATTTATTAAAGAAAAAAAAGTTGAAACCGCGGGGGATCGATCCAGTGACCCAGAGAGGTTTGCCGATTACCAGTCGTCATCTTTATCGCTACACCACGTAGACTTTTAAGAAATTCTTACTTTATAATTTATTCATAAAAAAAGAGATAACGCTGGTAAAAGACATCGGATGTTATTATTGGTTCGATTTAAACAGTACAAACGGCACTACTAGGAAGGAGATGTGACGTAGATTAACGTTGAAGAGAAAAAACATGTCAAAAGGACCTTAGCGTACATCTTCACTGCTATTGGTCCGATTTAAGCGGGAAAAACGGCATTATGTATAGGATCTTGGACACTAATGCTTTTTAAATGGAAAACGTGTAGTTCACTCTGGATAGTAAAGTGCGGTGTCGACATTTAATTAAAGATCGGTCAAATCTCTACATAAAACTGTTTTTCCCGTTTGAATCTAGACAATTCCGATGTCTTTTACCAGCGTTATCTCTTTTTTTTTATGTATACATTATAAAGTAAGAATTTTCTAAATGACCTCGTGGTTGAGTGGTCTACATTGCCGACTGGTAATCGGCAAACCTCTCTGGGTCAGTGGATCGATCCCCCGCGGTTTCAACTTTTTTTTTTTCTTTAATAAATAAAATAATTAATGGTGTATGTTGAGTTGCTGTGATAATGATGTATAGTAAGTTGCGGATTAATAAATTATTCAATAAGTTACTCCATCTAGCTGCAGATGTAGCAGGCTGACAACAAGGTCGAGTAAGTTTAGCAACAGTTGGCTAGTGACGTCATGACACGTGACGTCAAGACGAGTGACCTTGAAAGAGACAAAAATTGCCAGAATGAACCTTAGCGATTTCCCATGTTAATTTACATAAGGATTGGACCCGAACTCTTGCTGCTCCTTTATTAACACATTTTAATAGTGTTATTGATTCAAAAAGTTCGTTTTCTTTTTAGAATTTTTTCTCAACCAAAGATCCAGTAATGTGCATGCGCTGCGCCAATTTCATAGAAAAATATTACCTTTTTATACAGCATTTTGAAACCATCAAACCCAGCCATAAATACAAAAAACCGCTTTGGGAAACAATTGCCAATGAAGCTGTTTTAAATAAAATTGAACCTACCGAAACTCAGGATGATTCCAGAATCAGTGCACATTTCAGTGATAATGAAGTTAATGAAATATTTGATGTGGTTAAAGAAGAAATTTCAATAGACGAACACGTTTTAGAAAATCCAGAAAATTCTTCTGTTATTTTAAATGAAGAAAGTGGTTTACTTGAGGAAATTAATAATTGTGATATTGAGAACGACACATCTGTAAGTTACAATAAAGAAGTAATAGACAGTATAGAAGAAACTAACAATATAGATGATGATAGTAATAAAAATGGTTCTCAACTTCTTGGAAATGGAATCAAAGGTAATATAATAATCCAGTTAATTGGTAATTTTTTTCTTCATATATTTCAAACGCAAATTTTCCAATAGCACAAAATAAGAGGGCTGTTTTTAATTGTAAATCATGGAGAGGTGCTAACTTTGAAAAATAGTTATTGGCAACTATCTCGAAAACTGTTGATTGTATAGCTAAAACTCTAATGGAGAATTATATTTACTTTAATTTGTTTCATTCCATTTTTTCTAATTTTTATTTTAAACCTTACTGTACTGCAAAGTTTTTACTTTGTGTCCCATTGCTGCTGTGGGGGGTTGTTCTCATAGCCCCGTTATTCCAAAATAGGTATGTATCTTATTATTTAATCTCGCCCTTTATCGTATATTTATCGTTTATTATTTATCATTGCATTCAATAATTACTTATAACCTACACCACGGTTGCTAAAAGTAAAATTGTTTATATATCAACATTCTGTTTCCATCCTTTCAATATACACATATATACAGCTTCGGAGTTTATTTATTCTATTGATGGAATCTTAGTTTTAAACTTTCCACAAAAACATTTATGAAATCCATAGAAAAACATGTATAGTTGAAAATATTTTTATATTATAGCTCTACATCCTTATTATATCAATTTATTTAAATATGTAACTATTATGAAATATATCATACTAAAACTATATTTCAGATAAGTCTCAAGATCTCCGCCTAAATGAAAGCGGCAGTTCAACGAGAGCATTGAATAATAATAAACGGAAAAGGGCGCCTTTAGTAACAATTTCCGATGATGATAATAACACCGTTACCACGGAAAGCAGTAGATCTGAAACTGATATTTCGACAAAATCAACTAGAAACCGCAAATCTAGAAAGAGCAAACGATTAGTAACGAAAAAGAGAAATCATCGTGAAAAAGATTCCGATTTTATTCCGGAAAATGAATCAAAAAGCGAATCGGAAAGCGATTCTGATTACAATGTTGATGATGATGACGATTATAACACCAGAAAAAACAAGAAGTAAGTAATTAGCGATTCAAAATTCGTCATTGGTAGGTACTTCTTTTTTTACCTTCAAAAGTGGACTGTGCAATTTAGTTCATTACACCATAACAAAGTTTTAATCGTTTCAAAATCTGAATGTTATTAATTAATTATTAATTATTACCTATTAATTATTAGTAATGAATTATTATCAATTACTAATTATTATTAATAATTAATTATTAATTAATTTCTTTTTCATTTATTCGCCTATATTCTTGTTAATGAACCCCATATTTTTAGGCTGTATAAAGTTACTCCCACATGCTTCCATTGTAAGTATTGCTCGCACAAAGACACCGACAGCAGTCGTTTAGCTCTACACATGTCAACTTGCAATAACCGAATCGTTGAACGAAAATTATTTGCCTATGTGCCGTCCCAATCGGATCAAAACTTACCAAAACAGGCAGGCGTAGGTGTGTCGGTCAAAAAGACGAAACCCTCGCATCGGGGTATTGTTAGATCCAATCCTCTTCTTGTGGCTTTATTAACCGAATCGGACTCCGAGTCCGTCGATTCTGAAACCGAACCTTTATTGACCTGCCTTTTGACGGCTCACAAAGCGCTTCCGGACCCTAGGAAATCTAATTGTAAAAAATTTTCAAAGACTGGTAAGCATTTATTGTTTTTAAATTTGATTAGGTTTTAATATTCTCAAGTAATAAATAATACAAAATAATCAATAATTAATTAATTATTGATTATTTTGTATTATTATTAATTATTAATTAATTAATAATTAATAATTAATAATTAATAATTAATAATTAATAATTAATAATTAATAATTAATAATTAATAATTAATAATTAATAATTAATAATTAATAATTAATAATTAATAATTAATAATTAATAATTAATAATTAATAATTAATAATTAATAATTAATAATTAATAATTAATAATTAATAATTAATAATTAATAATTAATAATTAATAATTAATAATTAATAATTAATAATTAATAATTAATAATTAATAATTAATAATTAATAATTAATAATTAATAATTAATAATTAATAATTAATAATTAATAATTAATAATTAATAATTAATAATTAATAATTAATAATTAATAATTAATAATTAATAATTAATAATTAATAATTAATAATTAATAATTAATAATTAATAATTAATAATTAATAATTAATAATTAATAATTAATAATTAATAATTAATAATTAATAATTAATAATTAATAATTAATAATTAATAATTAATAATTAATAATTAATAATTAATAATTAATAATTAATAATTAATAATTAATAATTAATAATTAATAATTAATAATTAATAATTAATAATTAATAATTAATAATTAATAATTAATAATTAATAATTAATAATTAATAATTAATAATTAATAATTAATAATTAATAATTAATAATTAATAATTAATAATTAATAATTAATAATTAATAATTAATAATTAATAATTAATAATTAATAATTAATAATTAATAATTAATAATTAATAATTAATAATTAATAATTAATAATTAATAATTAATAATTAATAATTAATAATTAATAATTAATAATTAATAATTAATAATTAATAATTAATAATTAATAATTAATAATTAATAATTAATAATTAATAATTAATAATTAATAATTAATAATTAATAATTAATAATTAATAATTAATAATTAATAATTAATAATTAATAATTAATAATTAATAATTAATAATTAATAATTAATAATTAATAATTAATAATTAATAATTAATAATTAATAATTAATAATTAATAATTAATAATTAATAATTAATAATTAATAATTAATAATTAATAATTAATAATTAATAATTAATAATTAATAATTAATAATTAATAATTGACAATTGACAATTGACAATTGACAATTGACAATTGACAATTGACAATTGACAATTGACAATTGACAATTGACAATTGACAATTGACAATTGACAATTGACAATTGACAATTGACAATTGACAATTGACAATTGACAATTGACAATTGACAATTGACAATTGACAATTGACAATTGACAATTGACAATTGACAATTGATAATTGATAATTGATAATTGATAATTGATAATTGATAATTGATAATTGATAATTGATAATTGATAATTGATAATTGATAATTGATAATTGATAATTGATAATTGATAATTGATGATTGATGATCGATAATTAATGACAGACGATTGATAATTGATGATTGATGATGATTGATAATGATGCTTGACGATTGATGATTGACAAATATTGATTAATGATTGATGATAAATATTTGACGATTGATGATTGACAAATATTGATTAATAACTGATGATAAATATTTCATTATTAATAAGTATATTATTATTTACAGATCAAAATTTCCTGATGCAAAAGCTTACAATGCATCCGGCTTTGCCCGAGTCCACATTGTACATATTACAAAAAATTTGCGCAATAAAAGATAAACGTAAAGCTAAAATGCGACTAAGGCTAAAAAGAAAAACGAAAGCGGTTCAAGCGGATGGCAACCGAAAATCGGATGTCGTTATAAACGTCGATGCAGTACCGGGACAAAGTAATTGGACGAATAATACGTCAATTGCTAACAATTCTCAATTTTTGCCTGTAGTTCCTGATCAGCAGCTGGTTATATGGCCGCAGCAAGCATCTACAACTGAATCGGCAGTACCTTATTCCGCTTCGAACGCTGTTCCTAATCAGCAGTTGGTTATGTGGTCTCAGCCAGCTTCTCTGCCAAATGTTGCTGCTAATCAGCAATTGGTTGTATGGCCCCAGCAAGGATCTACGGATGTCCCACCTGGATCCGCAGCACCTCATTCCAACCCAAACGCCATTACTGTTGCTAATTTTCAATTACAAACCACACAAACGCAATATTACAGTATTACATCCACTACCAGTTCCGCTAACGTTCCAGTTAGTACCAACCCTTCTAAACCGATCCCAATTCTGCCTAACCCATTTCAACCGGCAACTTCCCAAAGTCCGCATATTAGCGAAAATATGAAAAGTCTAATTATGGAATTCCTAAAGAGTAAATACGCCGAACAGCCGAATATAAGTCAGGCGTTCGATTTGAAGTATCCTACTATTGCGCCGAAACAGCTGCCTCCTGTTGCTGCTTCTACTGGTAATTCCGTCGAAAGTTGTATAGATTTGACGTTCGAGGATCCGAATAATCCCAATCTGTTGGAGACCTTAGTGGAAGAGCTGATGTTACCGGATGTGATAGCGGATGATAATTTTGATGGCGCGGCCGATGCGGATCCCTTGTCTTTGGATACGGCAACGAACACCGTTACTGCGGATCCAATCGCTGAAGATGTTGAAAAGACGTCGAGTCCAGGCGATAAAACGATCAACGTTTTACCGGCCATTGTAGTCCCTATAGATAAGAATGAATTGAGTTGTTCAGGTAAGTTACAAGTTTTTAAATTGCATCTGATCTATATTAGTAATTTTGTCTTGACCAATATTCCTCCTAGACCTGCTAATAAAATTTTTTGGCGGCCGAAATTTTTTTATTAATTTAGTCTGCTTTCATTATTTTCGGCCTAATTAATTATGAATTTTTATTTGATCTAAATCAGTAATATTGTGCAAACCTATATCCCCTAGACATTTACATAAAAATTAATATTTTTTGATGGCCTCTATCATTTTTTAGTTTTTTATTGTTTATTTCCGGTCAAATGTATTTTCTGCTAAAATTGTTTGGCCGAACGTATCCCCAAACAATTTATTCGACCGAATGTATTTTTAGCCTAATTTATCTTCGATTGAATTCGTTTTGGGAAAAATTTATTTTCGGCCGAATATTTCTGACATACTTTTTTCGGCCGAATGTATTTTCGAACTAATTTATCTTGAGTGAATTTATTTTCATCGGAAATTGCGTTATATTGCATCTGATTTAAATCAGCAATTTTGTATTAACCTATATCTGGACCTTTACCTGAAAAAATAAATTGTTCTGGTGGCCGAAGCTATTTTTTAGTTTAATGTTTATTTTTGGCTAAATTGTTTTCTATCGAATGGTTTGGCCGAAAGTATCCCCAAATAATTAATTCGGCCGAATGTATTTTCAGCCTAATTTATCTTTGATTGAATTAGTTTTCGTACAAATATTTTCGGCCAACTATTTCTGACAATTTTTTTCGGCCGAATGTATTTTCAAACTAATTTATCTCGAGCGAATTTATTTTTATCCAAAATTGCCCTATATTGCATCTGATCTAAATCAGCAATTTTGTATTATCCTATATCTCTCTGGACCTTAACCTGAAAAATTGCTTTGTCGACCGAAGCTATTTTTTAGTATGTTTATTTTCGGCTAAAATTATTTTCGATAAAATGGTTTGGCAGAACGTATCTCCAAAGAATTTATTCGGCCGAATGTGTTTTCAGTCTAATTTACCTTCAATTAATTTGTTTTCGGTCAAATTTATTTTCGGCCAAATATTTCTGACATAATTTTTTTCGGCCGAAAGTATTTTCCAACTAATTTATCTTGAGCGAAATTATTTTCATCGGAAATTACGTTATTTTGCATCTGATCTAAATCAGCATTTTTGTGCAAACCTATATCCCCTACATTTACCTAAAAAATTAAATTTTTTTGGTGACTCTAGCCATTTTTTAGTTTTTTATTGTTTATTTCCGAACAAATTTATTTTGTGCTAAAATTATTTTAGATCGAATGGTTTGGCCGAACGTATCCCCAAACAATTATTCGGCCGAATATATTTTCAGTCTAATTTGCCTTCAATTAACTTGTTTTCGGACAAATTTATTTTCGGCCTAATTTATTTTCGGCCAAATATTTCTGACATAATTTTTTTCGGCCGAATGTATTTTCGAACTAATTTATCTTGGGCGAATTTATTTTCATCCGAAATTGCGTTATATTACATCTGATCTAAATCAGCAATTTTGTGCAAACCTATATCCCCTAGACGTTTACCTAAAAAATTTAATTTTTTTGGTGGCCCTAGTTATTTTTTTAAGTTTTTTATTGTTTATTCCCGGCAAAATTTATTTTTTGCTAAAATTATTTTCGATCGAATGGTTTGGCCGAACGTATCTCCAAATGAATTATTCGGCCGAATGTATCTTCAGCCTAATTTATCCTCGATTGAATTCGTTTTCGGACAAATTTATTTTCGGCCGAATATTTCTGACATACTTTTTTTCGGCCAAATATTTCTGACATACTTTTTTTCGGCCGAATGTATTTTCGAACTAATTTGGCTTGACCGAATTTATTTTCATCTGAAATTGCATTATATTGCGTCTGATCTAAATCAACAATTTTGTATTAACCTATATCTCTCTAAACCTTTATTTGAAAAAATTAATTGTTTTGGCGGCCGAAGCTATCATGTTTATTTTCGGCTAAAATTGTTTTCGATCGAATGGTTTGGCCGAACGTATTTCCAAAGAATTTATTCGGCCGAATGTGTTTTCAGTCTAATTTACCTTCAATTAAATTTATTTTCGGCCGAACGATTTCTGCAAACGTTTTAATTATATGATATTCTGTTGAATTAGTTTTAGTGCAACCGATTTAGATAGACTAGTTCGACATTGAATTGCTTCAAAATTGTTTGTAAAATGGAAATTTACTTATATGGAACCATTTTTCTAACGTAAACTACCAATCGCTTTAGGTCTAAACGGCCGAAAATAAATTCGGCCAATGTATTTAAACTAATCGTAAATAAACATGATTTGTTTCAGACCAAAATGAAAACACAACAGCTTCAACTCTTGTTAAAGATATTCCGACAAAGGACAAAGTAAACGAGAATAAAGACAAAGACGATCCTGAAATAGATACGGTTATCTTTGATTTAGAACAAGTTCTAGCCACTCCTGATGCTGATAAAACTAAATCCGCCGAAGTAGAAACGATGCAATTAAACGTATCGGATACTGACGATGATGATAATGATGTTGATTATGTACCTGATGATGCTGTAAACAGTTCTGAATCTAGCGAAGCTGAAACGATTAAAGATTTATTATCGAATTTCGCATCTAAAGCTGTTCCTGTTGACGTTTCTAGAAAAAATGATATACCAATCGTTAATGAAGATCTTATTCTTAGAAATCTCTTGTTGGATCAAAAGAAATTAGATGATCTTCAACAATATATAAACCGCAACTCTGACGTTTCTGGAAAAAATGCCGAAGATAATCCGTCAAACCAACAGTTGCCTTCTACATCTGTTACAATACAAATTGACGACGATTCCAATGATCCGTCATTTTCAACTGCTGATGTTACAACGGACATCGACGATAATCAGTCAAAAGAAAATCACCATGCTGATCCTTTGCCTTCAACATCGACCGCAACTGCTGATGTTATAACGGTGATTAATGATAATCAGTCAGAAGAAAACCTCCGTGCTGATCCTTTGCCTTCAACATCGATCGCAACTGCTGATGTTACAACGGTGATTAATGATAATCAGTCAGAACAAAATCGTCCTGATGATCCGTTGTCTTCAACATCGACCGCAACTGCTAATGTTACAATAGAGATCGATGATAATCAGTCAGAAGAAAATCGTCCTCCTGATCTTTTGCCTTCAATATCGACGGAAACTGCTGATGTTACAAAGGAAATAAATGATATTCAATCAAAAGAAAATCGTCCTGTCAATCATTTGCCTTCAACATCCACAGCAACTGCTGATGTTACAAAAGAAATAAACGATAATCAGTCTAAAGAAAATCGTCCTGTTGACCCATTGCCTTCAACATCCACAGCAACTGCTGTTGTTACAAAGGAAATAAACGATAATCAGTCTAAAGAAAATCATCCTTCATTATCGACTGCAACTGCTGATGTTAAAAATGAAATAAGTGGTAATCAGTCCCAAGAAAGTCATTGTAAAGCTTCGATATCCAATGAAACTACTGATGTTACAAAGGAAATAAACGATAATCAGTCAGAACAAAATCGTCCTGTTGATCCGTCGACAGCAGCTGCTGATCTTACAATAGAAATAGACGATGATCAGTCATCGCAAAATAGTGGTGCTGATTCCTTGCCGTCAACATCAACAGCAACCGCTAAACCAAAACGGAAACGACTTAACAAATTGCCGCCAATATCGTCACGAACAACTGACGTTACGATAGAATTGGATTCGGACGGGGATATCAGCAGCGTCAAAGAACCGATCGATGGTATACGAGTGTTGGCTACTTCGCGATCAGAAATGAAGAACAGAATTTCGAAATTAGCCAATATGTCCAATACCGCAACGAGTTCAGATAAAAAAGTTGTAACAATGGCGTTGAACAACCACCTATCCTGTCCGTTCGAACTCGCCATATTCAAATGCGATACGTGCGCTTACAACACGAGATTCTTTCGGCTGATCGAAGAACATTCTTTGCAGCATTTCGACGTGTTCAACAAGAGTGAGTCGTACATTTGCATGCACTGCTCTGTAAGCTTCAAGGACAAATCAAAGTTGGCGAAGCATCTTCAAATCGAGCACTCTCAATTTTTCTATACTTTGTGGTTCTGGTGCGTGAATTGCACGACGCCGTTTTCGAGGCACACCGACGTGTTGCGGCACAACAAAAGGTGCGCGAATAAGAACATCACGGTGAATTTGTTCAAAAGCAACCATACAGTGTTTTGCATGATTTGTTATTTCGAAACGTCCGCGGTGGATAAGGCGAGAACGCATTCAAAAACGTGCGTAACTCGGCACGTTAGACCTGTCGAGGTAATCGAGTTGGAATAGATTTTATAACCATCAGATCGATTTATTTTCAGCCGTTTTTTTATTATTGTTGAAATTTATGTCAAATTTATTTCGGCCGAATGTTTTTACGTTTTATCCGACTGAATGTATTTTCTGCCAAATATTTTGGAATAATCGATTATATAACCATCAGATCGATTTATTTTCGGCCGAAAATACTTTCAGTCGAATTTTATTGAAATGTATAAGTCAAATTTATTTCGGCCGAATGTTTTGTTTCATTCGACTGTATTTTCGGCCAAATATTTTTGACCGAACATACCATCGAGTTGGAATAATCGATTATGTAACCATCAGATCGATTTATTTTCGGCCGATATTTTTAGCCGAATTTAATTATTGTTGAAATGTATAAGTCAAATTTATTTCGGCCGAATGTTTTACTTTTTATTCCGCTGAATGTATTTTCGACCAAATATTATTTTTGACGGAACATACCATTGAGTTGGAATAATCGATTATATTGTTTATTTTCAGCCGAATTTTATTGTTGTTGAAATATATAAGTCAAATTTTTTTCCGCGAATGTTTTACGTTTTATTCGACTGAATGTATTTTTGGCCGAACATACCATCGAGTTGGAATAATTGATTATATAACCATCAGATCCATTTATTTTCGGCCGAAAACATTTTCAACAGAATTTTATTATTGTTGAAATAGTCAATTTATTTCGGCCGAATTTTTGATCTAGTTTGTTTTATTGAATTGATTTTCGGCCGAAATTCTTTTCTGTCGAATTTACTTTAGGTCAAATTTAATTTCGGCCGAAAGTATTTTTATTCGGCTGAATGAATATTCGCTCTAATTTATCTTCGTTTGAATTTATTGTCTGTCCAATTTAATTTTGGATAATTTATTTTTGGCCGAACTTTTTTTTTTAATTATGACACGGTATTTTGCATGATTTGTGATTATTTAACCGATTAGATCGAATTAATTTTGACCGAATTTGTTTTCGGCCGATTTTTATTATTGTTGAATTGTATTTCGGCCGAATATTTTACGTTTTATTCGACTGAATGTATTTTCGACCAAATATTATTTTTGGCCGAACATACTTTCAAACGTTTTTTGGGCCAAACACATTTTAGATCTAGTTTGTTTTGTTGAATTGATTTTCGGCCGAAATTATTTTTATTCGGCTGAATGCATTTTCGCTCTAATTTATCTTTGTTTAAAATTATTGTCTGTCGAATTTTATTTTGGATAATTTATTTTCGGCCGAACGGTACCTTCTTAATTATGACACGGTATTTTGCATGATTTGTGATTATATAACCGACTAGATCGAATTATTTACGGCCGAAAATATTTTCGGTCGAATTTTATTGTTTTTAACCTTATTTATTTTTGGCAGAACGTGCCTCCAAACGTTTTATTCGACTGAATGTATTCTCGGCCTAATTTATTTTTGACCAAACATACTTTCAAACGTTTTATTTAAATGCATTTTTGACCTAATACAGCTTGATGATTTTATTTTCGGCCGAATTTATTTTCGGTCAGATTTATTTTAGGCCGAATTAATATTTGATCGAATTTTATTGGTGATATTTATTTTCGGGGGAACTTACCTCTAGGCTTTTATTCGGTATTTTCAGTCTAATTTGTCTATACTCTTGAATTTATTTTCAGTGGATCTCATTTTTGGTCAAATATATTTTCGGCCGAAAACATTTTCGGTCGAATTTTGTAATAGGTGGAATTATTTATGTCAAAATTTGTCTACTGTTAAATTTATTTTCTGTCGAATTTTTTTCAGGTCAAATATTTTCGGTCTGATTTATTATAAGTCAAGTTTATTTTCGGCCGAATTTATTCTTGACCAAAATTATTTTCGGTCGAACCTTATTTACTCTAGGCCGAATTTGAAAACGTTTAATTCGGCCGAATGTACTTTCGGCTTGATTTAGTTTCAGTTGAAATTATTTTTAACCGAATTTATTTTTGGCCCTATTTATTTATTGGCCCTACGTTATCTTCTTAGAATACAACACGTTTTGCATAATTTGTTATGCTTTACTCGGCAAATTAAACGCGTCAAGGTTATGGAGTTTGAATAATCCATAAAATAATCGATTTGCGTTCGGTCGAAGTGATTTTTAACCGAATTTATTCTTGGCCGAAGATTTTTTCAACCGAATTTTATTATAGGTGGAATTTATAGTCAAATGTATTATTGGTGGAATTTATAGTCAAATGTATTATTGGTGGAATTAATAGTCAAATGTATTTTCGGCCGAATGTTTTTGCTCCAATTTATTTTTGACCGAACGTACTAAACGTTTTAGTCGACCGAATGTATTTTTGCGAAAGACTTCTTATTCGGCCAAATGCGTTTTCGGCATAATTTGTGTTCTGTTGAATTCATTTTTGGTCGAAATTATTTTCTGTCGAATTTATTATAGGTCAAATTTATTTTCGGCCGATATTATGTTCGGTCCGATTTATTATATATCGAATTTATTTCGGCCGAATTAACTATTGACTAAAACTATTTTCGGCGTTACTTGGCTACTTAAACCCGTCGAGGTATCGAGTTGGAATAATCGATAAGATCGATTTGTTTTCGGCCAAATTCAATTTTGGCCGAATTTTTATATTCTGTATATAATGTAAATATAAGTGTAAAAGTATACGGAAGTATTAAATATTTACTTTAATGATCTTATACAGGGCATTTTAAAAGTTCGAGTGTTTAATAATGTCTTTATTTATATAAAAAAGTAAGAAATGAAAAAAAAAGTTCGTCGCTTTTCACTTTTTTTTTTATTTTAATATTCCTTTTTTTCTTCCTGTTTTTTTTTTTAATTTTTTGTTCTTTTTCCTTTTTTGTTTTTTTTTCCTATTTTTTTTTTTTTACTTATTTGTAAAGCAGCCGAATCCGCTGCCGAATTCAACTTGTAAATTTGAGAATTCCGCGGCAAAATTGTTGACGTTCTCGGGTCCCATGTTGGGAGCCATTTATGTCACCTTAACTTAGCTGAATCTCATAAGTTTATTTTAAATTTTAAAGTAAAGTTAAGATTTTAAATATATAGGAGTACATGTATTTCAATAACACTCTGTATATCCATTCGAATGTTTGGTACGCACATTCAGTAGGTACATGTATTTAAATAATACTGTCAGCCTTTTTTTTATATACTTTTAATTTTTTTGGTTTGTTTAAATAAGTCTTAAAGTGTACATAAATAAAGGTCTTTATAAAAAAAGTATGTTTTCTTTTATTCATAATAGTTCATGTGGAAAAAAGTTTATTCTAAATTACAATGTAATGGTATATACATATACATGACATACAGTAGGTTGTGAATGTATAATAATAGTATAAAAGTAATAGGGCGAATATAAGAAAAAAAAGTAGTATAATGTCTAGTGGCCGACCGAAGGTTCGGTTTCTGTTTCGTTGTCTGCCAGTTTCGGCCTAAAATAACAGTAATTTCGGTTTCGGCCAGCTATTGCGCCATCACGCGGCCATAGATCACTTGAAACTAGCGCGGTTACCGGTTGTAGCATATTTTAAATAACTTATTCCAGGTTTCGCTTTGTAAATAAGACAACAGTATTAAAAAAAGTAGAACTGTCATTACCTAAACTACCGACGCCGAATAAAAACTGAAAAACCCCGGTTATTCGGGTGAAATTCAGTTTTTTCCCCGGATATTAAACAACTTTTTAGCGATTTATTTAGCAATGTTTGGCAAAATCGACATTCGGTGGTACGGGTAATGTAAATTTAAAAGAGTTCTTTCAAATTATTCATTTAACGGACCGGTGAAATTACCGATCGCGCAACGTATAACCATTCATACGATTCCGGTGAATTTCTTAGATCTAGTTATAGTGAGCAGTGGTCAACTACATTATGAAAAAAGAACGCGTTTTGTCCCACAATACTGGATGCTTTTTAATTAATGTAATCAAGATCTCTACGTCGATATCTTGCTCCATGTCACACCGTAGCTACACCACACACTGAACGACTGTAGCAATTTGCATACACATTTTCTATGAGAACAAAGTGTTTTTAATAAATAATTCGTCCGGTGACGGACGAGATAGAAACCCATCCATTGAAGCACCGGTACCGGATCGATTTCTTTACGGACATCGATAAGTAAACAACTCAGTTTGTTTCTACAGTTTTCGGTAATTTCTACGGTGCGTTAAAAAAACTGATTGTGTGAAAGAGTATTTACATTTACCGGAACCGGCACCGTTAACCGGTTGTAAAATGAATAGATTCAAATAAACTTTCCTATTTGACGGAATTGGCTAACCGGTAGACAATCGCCGGTTCATACCACTGGAGGCCCGGTTGTTCTAGTATCAAAATGCAACTGGCAAGTGGATCTGATATTATTTCTTGCCTAGATTGAAAATTAGATCTTGCCTAACCGGCTAACCGATGAAAACCAGCCAGTTCCAGTAATTGTGAAAAAGCTCTTACGCTTCTTTCACACGTGCCGGATACCGGATATACAAGCCTGATAACCGGCAATATTATATTCAAACTAATTTGACATTTCTTTGAATCTCAGAATCGAGTTTGCAGTATAATTTTACTATGGAATTTATAAGTTCTTCGATGTCTATATCCACACGTGACATTTTCCATGCTACACGTCTATTTTCCACCATATTTTAAGAGTGTCTGAACGATCTTGGTCTATACACATGTGAACGTTGTATATGCTGTTAGAATGCGGGTATCACCCGGACACTTATTCGAAACTTTGTTCGAAAACTTCCCGGTCGTCCTCCAAACTAGGACAAATCCGTTTCAATTGGCTTTCCGCATCGATCCGAAGGATTCCATCCGCTCCGGAGTAAAAATTTCAGTACGTTTATAGGATAATTATCAATTATTTAAACAAATGAATACACAATATTTAGCAACAAGTATGGTAGTGCTAGAAACAGTCAGGTTTATACTCTATATTATATTTTGTACGGTGAAATGAAAAATTGTATTATTTCCTAATTATTTTAATTTCTTGTATTTTCTCATCATTATAATGTATCTGATCTGAAAAATATCGTAAATAACCGTTTCATATACTATTTATAATGTTGGGAAATGACCGGTGATTTATAAATCGGTAAGTACCCAGTAAACCACAAATAGTCGGCATTCGCTCGGCCTAACACCGGTATGTACGGGAAGCCAAGTACTCAGATTGTCGTTGTCGGGGTTTCTTTTGAGCCGGGAGGCCCGTACCATTTAACGTAATTTAGAAGTAGAAACCGCATATGGTCCATATTTGGCTTTCCAGACATGGGAGACATGCATCCTTACGGGCCGAACGCGGTGAATATTTGGCTAGCCGGGCATGGGAGGCATCCTTACGGGCCGAATTATATATAGATATATGAATACGGCTACAATTTAGTGGGCTGCCGACATTCGACTGGGCGGACATGCCCTACCTATATGCCGAAGCTGCACTCGTATATCGAGACGAGTCCGGCATCCGGAAAGCCTCCTTCAGTCCAGTTACGGTGCTGATTAACTGTGTTTATTGGGTAACCGGTCACTTATGCGATCATTTTCATTCATGGACAGAAATAGTATTTTTTGAATAGGTTTCTTCATGGGATCTTCAACGAATATTGCAAGGATTTTAAAATAATTTGGACCAGTAATTTATAAATCGTCACTTACAGTCATAACCTATTTAAAAAACACTAAATAATATGAATTTATTTATTATATTTACTTTTACAACTGTATATGTATTTTATAAAATTTTCTTAAGCTAATATAAAAGGCGAGACTTAGAAAATCGGTACAAGAGCATCAATGATACTCCCGTGTTTATAACTAGTGGTGACATATCGCTTATTTTTATTTCTATACGAAGAGAAATGTTTTATTTACAGATTTATAAACCATATAAAGGACTTTATAATCAAAACACAATTCGTTAGCTCAATGAGTTTTTAATGTACGGTGAAGAGTAAAAAATTATGTAATTTAGTAATTGAAGGGTCGAATGCACAAACCACCCAAGTCCAATGTTCAGAAGAGATAAAAAATGTTTTAAAGACAAAATATTTAATTTTTTTTATTTAGCTGCTATATACACAGTATCGAAAGGTACTCAACCTACTATACGTCACAGTATGCTTAGTTATTGAGCTAGACAACTCGTTTATGCACAGAATGATTCAGAATTTAAAACTGTGTAAGAACATCGACTATGGTAGCGCAGGTGTCTACGGCATCGCATTCTTATGCGAGCCATTTTCTGGTAAACGAGACACGGTTTCAGATCCTACAGAAGACCATGTGAATTTATTTGCATGGTTCTCTATAGGATTTGATGGATGCCGTATTAGCAGAAATTTAATTTCTGTTGATATGACATCCAGATTATTAAAAATCACCATGCGTTACCGTTTTCAATGATGGTGGGTGGGGTTTTCCTCACCTGTAAATCAAATGGCACCATCAATCATCTTTAAGTCGCCCCGGAGCGCCACGGCAAATAATAATAGCCCGTCTCTTTCCCCGGACAAGCTCAGCTTTTGGGGTTAAAATTCATTCGTACGGGGGTGAATTAGGGAGAGTATTATTATTATTACATATTATTAGTATATACTTAGTTAAATTTTGCAAAAAAAATAGACCGGTTAATGCACTGGACCCCTCAATTGCCATTATTTTGTATTTTTTTATCATTATAAAATATCTGATCTACTGAAAAATATCGAAAATGGCCGTTTCATATAGTATTGGGAAATGACCGGTCATTTATAAATCGGTAAATGACCGGTCACTTATACGCTTATTTTCATTCGTGAACAAAAATGGTATTTTTGAACAGTCTTTTTTATTTGATCTTCAACGATATCAGATATGTTGAGTTACTACAAAGATATTAAGATAAGTTTGACCGGTCATTTATAAGTTAGCAAATGACGTTACAGGTCACTTATGATCACTACCCTGTGGTCATTTTTATAAGTGAACAAAAATGGGTATTTCTGGATAGGTTTGAGTTCTTTAACGATTCCAAATATGTTGGGCATTACAAGGATATCAAAACTTTATCCTAGTTTCCAGATATTCAATATAATATGCTAAACATATACCATTGTTGGCCTTCTATGCTGAATACGTTAAAAAATTAATTTCTAGGTTAAAACTGGTGGTCACATTCAAAAGTAAACCGGTGAAATTGGTAATTTATAAAAGTGACCGACAATACTATTTATTTACATAATAAAGGTTTTTCGAAAATTTTTATCATCTGCAAAAATAAGCTACTTAGATACTTAATTTTACTCCGCTTAAATGCACGGCAGGCAACCATCATGTACACGTCAATATTTAGTAAATTCATGTCATTGACGTCACATATGACCTTAAAATTACATTTTGAAGTATTAACTAAAACATGAATTAAGACAATCCACACAGAACGTCATTTTCACGTTTATTCAAGATCCCTCGCATCGTAGGGAAACTGGTGGTCATAATACGAGAAATTTGTATGGCAAACCGTTTACTAGTCCTTATGTTTAAAACGAACTAAAATTGAATTTAACTTCTTCCTGTGCATACTCAATGCTATACATTTTCTATTATCTCACTGTAAGACGTATTTTTGACATCTTCACGTCAACCCGTAACGTCATTTTGACGCTATAAAATGATGCCATTCATCTGTGACTTAGGGTATGGTCCGATATTAACCGACTACTAACGATAACTAACTAGGATTTTTTGACAGACGGTTCCTGAAAAAACTAATTTATTGGTTACATTTGGACTACGGCCGAGCTTTACGTCACTTTTGTGACAGATTGACATTTGACTCAATGATAACCGTAAAAATATAGCAGTTAGTGAATTCACGCTTAAGTCACAATTTTCAGGTATTTTTATAGTAGGGACCGAAGTTGGAAAGGCTTTTGTCAGTTCTCCCACTTCAGCCACAAGATTTGACGGTTTTGACGCCAAGTTAACCGAAGAAAATTATTTTATAAATGGTAATAACAATTTCGCGTAAATGGTTCAACAAATTGTGAATAGCTATTGAAATATTCTAGAATTATGATTAGAGACATTATTACTTTCTTAAATAATTATTTGTAGCACATAAATAGATACGTTTGCCCGATTTGGCCGGCAATAATTTAAAATTCTCCGACGGGGTTTGACGTTTACCACCTCTCTGCCTACCAAAAGCCTGTCCAACTTCTGTTCCTGCTATATCAGTCGTTCTTTTTTGACGGCACAGGATTTCTTACAGCAAAAATATTAAACCTTTAAAAAGAAAGCTTTCAATCACATCATTCGGACGTCACTTTGGAAGTCATTCTTACGTCAAAGATGACTACATAATAATGTTCAAATGTCAGCTGGTTTCCTGGGTTGACTTCTGGAGGTAAAAATTCACTCAACGGGTGAATTATAGAGAGATAATTATTAATATTAATTTTCTCCACTAAAGATTGGAAAATTGTGCAATTTAAGGTTAAAACAACAGAATTACCGAGTGCAGTTCATCTGACAGGGTAGGATAATATTGATTTCGGCGGAAGGCTTCGCTGAAGCAATTCATTTTGAAGGTGCTTGCTATTAAATAACTGGATTATTTTTCCTAAACACCCTCTTATAACCCTGTTTTGAAGGAACATTTTCGCGAATTTCTTTTCTAACTTCCACAATTCTAAAAGCCCTGATAGGCGTGGATAGTTCCCTGATGAAGAACCCCACAGCTTCTGCTACCGGATCGCAAAAATCCCTTATAGAGGACGCGATATTATACAAAAATATTAAAATAGGTTGTATGACGGCATTAAAAATGGCGCACAGCAACGGCTTGAGAAAATAATCGGATGTTAATTGGAGGATTCCCACTGTAAGAGGTCTTACAATGGTGTAAAGGATGAATCTTAAGAATTGAAGGACGAATGAGGTTAGAAAGGAAAATCCTATGTTGAATGTGCCGAAGAGTTCCGCCCAAAATTTGGTGGTGTAGGCTTCGGTTCGTTCCGCTAGAGCTTCGGTTGCTAGGATGGGTGATTTGTCCGTGGTACGGAAGTAACTGAAATGAAACAAAATTATTAAGTGATACCTAAAGTATTTTCATCAATATGTAAGCAAAAATAAGAGAATATCCCGGTATTACTATTATGGCTTTATTTTATATCATTCACTCATTTTGTAACATTTGACGAATACTGTTTAAAATCTACTGGAAACTTCAGATTCTGGTGAAACCATAAGTAGAACACGATTGAATTAGAACAATCTTTATTATTACTTTTAATAAGTTACATCAAACAGTGAAAAGACCGGGAAATATATCGTTGCTGACTTACAATATTAAGTAAGGCCTTAGAAAACAAACTACTGGCCTTTTACTTTCATATTAGACAGAAAACATTAAATTATCTTAACAATACAAATATTTCTCACTTCTGTGATACAATTGTACTTTTTCTATTGAAACAGAGTCTAATTGAATAGTAACAAAATTATAGTAACTTACTTAGAACAGCCATGATCAAAATAATATACATCCACTCTTGTAGCTCCGTTGCAATCCATATACGTAGTTTTTTGATTGAATTTGTTATTTTTACACCAAAGATTAATATCTCTATCAACAGGCAACATGTTTTCGTTTATTATTCCATGTTTTATATCATCTACTCTAATATTTTTACTATCCTTCTGATATGTCGGATGCGAGCTTTCTTTTTTGAGACAACAACACTTGCAAATACCATTATCACTTAAATTCTGTGCTGATTCTTTTGGTACTTCGTCCACCAAATCGAATACCAGGCGCTGAAATAGAAAAACGTTAATGCAGGATCTCAGTTTGGTATATTTTCTGATTTTAATTATTATTTAGTTACTTATGTTGGAAATACATCTAACATATACCGCTAATATCTTAAGTTAACCCTCCTCTGAATTAATTTAGAAGGTACAAACGGTACATTTATACATTAAGCAGTTATGAAATAACACTAGCACACCTTTGAAAAGTCACATGACTACGCCGCGTCAAAAATCTTCTCTTGATTTCTGGATAGAGGGTTAAAAGGTAAAAATAAAACCAAGCGAGTCAGTTTCTTTGACATATAGACGGACAAATAATAATGAATGCATTATAAAAAAGAATAAACGTACTTACTCTGGGTAATCCATAGTCTGCTGACTGCTTCACATTGATCGTATAATATTCGCCTTTCTTTGACCAGTCGTTCTTTTTGTCTTTAAAAATATTGTAAAGAGACTGCAAGAGCTTGACCTTTTCTGATTTAGGTTTTTTAAAAGCTGCAAACAAAATTGAATTCATAGATTTGTTTTCATACCTAAAATAACCGATTTAAAAAAAAATAATTTTAAGCATGCTTACTAAAATCAAAAATTACTAAACAAGACAAAAAAATGTGTTTTTCTTTTACAGCATTCTGTTGTTTTATTTGGTACCAGCTTACTTCAAAAGTATTAATAGTTATACATTTTTAAAAAACATCTCCAGCTTTAGATTCTTTCTTTAAATTATTTTATTTTTCATAATTTAATTGGTCCAGTATATATTAAAAAAAAAATCTATTTAATAAACAGTTTTACTTCTTTTTATAAAAAAAATTTAATTAAAATAGAAGGCGAAGGGAATCGACAGAACAGCATCAAGGATAATCCTGTGTTTTTAATTACTAGTGACATATCGCTTATATTATATTCAGAATATATTCGTTTTATTTACTTATGTTGGAAATACATCTAACATATTCTGCTAATATCTAAAGCTAACCCTTCCCTGAATATTGTTGGATATTATTATGGATAATATTATGAGATTTTAAAAACATAGGCTTGCTTACCTTCGTTATGTTTCATATAATCAACCATCTGGGGACACATACATTCTGAGTTATAAACATAATTATGGGCTGGATAAAGGGGTGGGGGACAAACGCATTGTTGCTGTCTATAACTAGAGGGATCATCAACTATTAGAGAAAAATCTGTGTCTTGTACTCCTGCGTCTGGGGGTATAGTAGAGAAATCGTTCTCCGTTGGACAGTTTGGATCTTCTTCTGCTTTATTTTCCTATAAATTAAATTGAATACGATGGTTCTTTATGTTTTTTATGGGAGACTATACAATAAACTACAATTTGGATGTATTTACAACTATTTTGTACTTTTGTTCATACTGATCAATGGCGAAGAGTACATTCTGAATTTTTGATGTCTATATTATTAAGATTTTACCTATAATAACTGTCATCTACTGTAATTCAAACACTTTGAAATGTATAAAACTTAAAGGGGGATGTTTTAAATGCAATAACATTATTTGTACCAAAAACTTATTTTTCCTTTCATTATTTTTGTAGGAATTAAAAAATAAACTTGTATGTTGAAGAGTACAGCATAAGACAGCACAACTCCACAAGAGTAAATAGGCTTTTGGACAATCTTTTCAAAATCTAACAATGAATTATTTTCTATTTTCAATATTATTATTATTATTACCTTTATGCTTTGGGTTGTAGTAGTGTTAGGAAAAATAGATTCTTCAGACAAGCTAAAATTCTGATCGAAATGTGGTGTATTAGGCCCCATCAGTTCTATTACAGCTTTCACGTCTTTTTTTATTTTTTTCATTGCCTTATCATCTTCGTCTGAAAATGTTATTAAAATCATAATTTATTCTTATAGGTATTTTATACACTTACCTTTCGAAAAACTCAAACTAGAATCTGTTGGACAATGGACGCCTTTATCCTGTAACTTAGGCGGTTTATCTTTTGCCATGCTTATATGTTTAGTAAATATCAATTTAAATCCATGTAAAATTATTTTTTATAATATTTATATAATAAAATATAAATGTATAAATATGTAGAATATTGACAATAAGATTGTCAAATAGACAGTGAGTTTTAAAATGGCAAACAGGTCTGGACTAAAATATTTAACCTTGCATGTTTTTTTCTCTAGTGGTATTTATTATTCATTTAATTCGGAATTTATGAAGATAGTATACAAAAATAAAGTAAAAATTTAATGATACCAACAAACAAAATATATTAAAAACACAAAAATTAAGCACAAAGTCACTCGTAGCCGAATTTGAGTTATTTTAAGAACCTATTAAAAATGTCGCACTCTTTATACTAAACAAAAGATACATCGTTTATAAACATATAAATAGAATGGGACCAATGTGGAAACCTTGAGGGACACCACACGTAACTGATATATTACAAAAATTATAAACCAAAACTCTCGGAGAGCCTTCACTTAAGTAAGAGTTGATCCACTTCAATTAGTTACCAAAAAAGCCAATTAGAGAAAGCAACTTGTGACAGAGACCTCTGTATATACAGTTTTGATCACTGAACGTTTTCCAATATCCTTTGCACAAAGTAGATAATGGGTGCCTTGAGCCCCCTGTTTATAGCCCCCCCTACGCTGCGCAAGCGCGTAGCTCTAAAGTTTGCTAATCTATATCAAAAAAAGTTGAAAAAAAAAAACGTTAAAACAACGTCACACAAAAAAAAACGTCGAAACAAAAAACTGTCGAAAAAAACCGTCGAAAGAGAACGTCGAAGAAAAAGAACGTCGAAGAAAAAGAACTTCGAAGAAAAAACGTTGAAGAAAAAAACGTCGAAACAAAAACGTGGAAGAAGAAAAAAACGTTTTTTCACGTTTTTTTGACTCTTTTTCGTTTCTTTTTTTTTTCGACGTTTTGTTTTTGACGTTTTTTTTTTTCGACGTTTTTTTCTCGGCTTTTCTTTCGTTTTTTTTTTTTTCGACGTTTTGTTTTCGACGTTTTTTTTTTTTCGACGTTTTTTCTCGGCTCTTTTTGACGATTTTTTTTTTTCGACTTTTTTTTCTTCTTCGACGTTTTTTTCTTCGATGTTTCTTTTTCGGCGGTTTTTTCACGTTTTTTGACTGTTTTTCGTTTTTTTTACGGCGTTTTTGACTTTTTTTTGCTTTATTTTGTTTTTTCGACGTTTTATTGACGTTTTTTTTTAACTTTTTTTTTTCGGCGTTATTTTTCGACGTTTTTTGACGTTTTTTTTTTTTACGTTGAAAAACGTTGAAAACGACGTTCAGCCAACTTCAGAACTCGGCGCTTGCATAGCGTAGGGGTGCTATAAACAGGGGGCTCACGGCACCCATTATCTACTGCACAAGTACATGTGAAAACTACATGCAATTAGAGCAAGCAGGAAACGTTGGTATTATTTGTTTCTTACTCGCACTAAAGCTAACTCTCTGTAGTTTTGACATATACTTCTGTAATGCGTTGATAACTATAGCAAAACAATCAGAACTGCCGGATATAACGCAAGATCTGTTGTTCTGATACAATGAGGTTAAATTATTATAGTATCATACCCTTAGACTAGGCTAATAAAGATAGGACGCGTAACAAGTATTAGAGAGTTTTAGCAAACATCCGTTAACCATCCGCTAACGTTACCTTAGGGATATACTGTTCAATGTTTATGAAAAATCTTACGTACCTTTGCTAGAACTCTCTAATCGAGCACATGTGCCAATTATCTATTGGCCGGGATTATTTTGGTGCTAATCATTTCGGTGACACCAAAGTTTTTGTTCGTGTTTATTTCTGATGATAAATATCAATCGTTTTCACTTTATATATTTTCTTATATTTCTCATTTTATTTGGTGTTATACAACTTGGTATTTACATATTGTAAATGTCTCACTTCAGAGTAATAAATTTTACCCACCAAGTTTGTTTATTTTATGCTTTTCATTGATATTTAAGCAATTAATGATATTAAAATGGTCTGATGTATATTATGGTTACTGCACTAAGTATAGCACAGTACGACACTGCTTTAGAAACTGTCGGCTGCCATTTTCATAACTGAAATATAAGTAATCAAATAATCCTTTTAACATTAAAATCGTACTTTTAAATAATAATAAAATAAAATCCAAACATGGATAGAGAAACTCGGAAAACCTTAACCCGGTGCAAAGTAACCAAAAGGAACCTGAGGCCACCGCAATTGCTGGAAGAACTCGTAGCAACTCAATTAACGGAAGAACTAATGGATAAATTTCAAATCACGGGAAAAAAGAAGCAATACCTGCTGGAATATCGAGCAGAATACGCCAAAGATAAAAAACTAAAGGCTTTTAAAAATAGAATTACACCTTTATACCCGGTTGTGCCCGCTTTAGACGATTCGCACAAGAAAGTTCGCGGGTTTGCGGAATTGTGTCCGACTTATCAGATGTCCCCGTTTCATGAGAAATGTATTTTGAAAAAAATCGTTACTAAAGGTCTCGAATACAAGTTTCCGATGACTATTAAATCGATTATGGACGAAGCGAAAGAGGAATTTATTAAAATCACCCATTTAGCAGGTGTAAGTAACATTAGTCCTATTTTTTCTTTTTGTGTCCTTAGACGTATAATTTGGGAACGCGAGAGACAGGCAGACGATCGATGCATTTACGTTTACGTCTTGAAAGTGCTGTCGCTGTCTCTTGCATCGGTTGTTCGATCCAAATGTTCTTCATTTAATTACATGTTATTCAGACGGAAAGAGACCGTTTTCGGACGCTTGCCTCTGTTTCGTGCATCAATCATACGTTCCCAGATGGTATCTTAAAAGGGTTGCCGATAAACAATGTAGACACAACAATTTTCGCTATTTTCGCATAATTTCTTAATGAAAATGATATTACTTACTAAATTTGGTTAATTTAACTGCGGAAAAATCAAAATTACCAAAGTTAATACAAAAAGTAGTCATTAGGAACCGTGAGCAATTCTTGTTGTTGCTCGGTTGTAACATAATATCTTGCTTTTCCGGTACCTCCATATACACCCATAAATTCTTTAAAGACAAAGTCAGATGTTTCTTAGAGCTGATTTACTTCCTTGTCATGGTCATCCTCAAGTGGCGCCAGCCGGTTTTGGTGTACTACCTTCGGATTACCGTACAGGATCCAAGTAAACCACAAATAGTCGCCATTCGCTCGGCCAGACACCGGCATGTACGGGAAGCCGAGTACTCGGATTGCCGTTGTCGGTGTTGCTTCTGAGCCGGAAGTACCGTACCAGTTGACGTAATTTAGGAGTAGAAACAGCATGTGGTCCATATTTGGCTTTACAAACAGTAGAGGCATCCTTACGGTCCGAACGCGGTGAATATTTGGCTAGCCGGGCATGAGAGGCATCCTTACGAGCCGAATTATATATAGATATATGAACGCAGCTACAATGTAATGGGCTGCCGACATTCGGTTGGGTGGACATGCCCTACCTATATGCCGAAGCTACACCCGTATATCGGGCCGAGTCCGGCACCCGGCAAGTCTCCTTCGGCCCAGTTATGGTGCCGATTAACTGTGTTTACTGCGATTTTACTTACACGGTAAATGACATCATTATTATTTATTTCTTAATGAGGTACGGACCTTCCCAAGATCTTTTAAGCTTCGGAGAATAACCCTTTTGTCTTTTTAGATTATGGAGCCAGACTTTGTCGCCTTCCTTGAAACATTCTTGGGTATCGTATCGCTTCTTCATTCTGTCGCTGGTGATTTGACGACAGCTGCATGATCGGTCCGGATAGAAATTTCCTTCCATATAGCTAATGGTAGAAATGTTCCACATATTTCACAACTGCCAGTACTCTTTCTTTCCCTTCCTGAATCTGTGAAAGCACTCCAATTCCCATAGTATGCAGAATATATTCTACCTCTGGTAGTGGGTAGCCTAATACTGGTGCTGTTTTTATATGCTTCTTTATTCTTTTCAAAGGCAGTTTGGCAGTCTTCGCCCCAGCAAAATTCTCTTGCTTCTTCTGTGAGTCGTGTTAATGGCTTAGCAATATCTGTGAACTTCCTTATATGAATCTTCGGTAGTACGTACAACATCCAAGAAAATTTCTTATTTGATGTTTAAGAGTTGGTTGTGGCCACTTTCTCCTTATCTACAGCTACGCCATCCTTGCAGACTATATGACCCACGTAAATTAACTTTATTTTGAAATGTATTGGGGTGTAACATCAATTGGACAGCTTGAATACCTTTAAAAAGATCTTCTAAGTTCTTTACATGTTCATCAAATGTTTTCCACAAGACTATAATGTCGTCTAAATACACCAAGCATGTTTTCCAGGATAACCATCTCAATACATTTTCCATAACTCTTTCAAATGTCGCGAGGGCATTACATAGTCCAAATGGCATGACATTGAATTGTCACAATCCAGATTCGGTGCTAAAAGTTGTTTTTTTCTTTGTCTACTGGGTCCATTTCCACCTGCCAATATCCGGACTTAACTACTGTCTTTCTTGTTCAACTGACGATAGTCCACACAGAACCTCGTGGTTCCATCCTTTTTCTGAACCAGGACTTGAATTTCAGGGAGTAGAAATTTTGAAGGAAGAGTGAGACAAAAATACAAATTTTGTGCGTTTCAGATAAAGAGAAAAAACCGGTTTTCTATTCCCTGGAATTCAAGAATAGCTCCCCCGGAGAAACCGATGTGCTGATAGAAGGTTCTATCACTCTGTCTTCCTTAATTTCTCGAACAATCCTTCCAGCGTCCTTTCTCTTGGCCTTTAGTAATCTTCAAGCTGGTTCGACTTGGCGTCACCAGTGTCAATTTTATGTTTTATTGTTTAAGAACGAGCACTTCGATTTTATCTATTGATAGTATTAACGATATTATTTTGATACTGGTGGCGCAATCTCTTGCTTCAATCGATCACTTTTCAGTACTTACACTAAACAAACAAATCTGATATTTTTCAGGCAAATTTAAAAGCAAAACCGTGCTCGCCCGATAAGAAACGATTCGTCACCGCCCCGTACGTCTATTTGGGCAAAACGCCACGTTATCACGTCTATTTAGCTAACAGAAAAGCAGTCCAATCCAAGTACATGCTGCATTACAATCTAGTGACGAAAGTAATAAGAGAATGCGCTGCTCTACCAGAGATTCTATTCAATTTAAGTGATTTAAGACAGAAATCGCACGATCTTCAAGAGTTGGATGATATATTTAGTAACTTAGTTAGCGAATCTGATAATTTACTCAGTAATTTTTATAATACTGTTTATGATATCGTTGAGAAGGATACTACTAGATTGGGACCGGAGAGATACAAACATTTATTGAAAGTATGTACTGGATTACTGTCTGTTTATATCAGTCTTGCGATTCAGAATACAGTTTTTCACATACTAGAAGTTACAGGATCAGATGAATTGATACCTTACATGCAGCTGTCTCTTAAATACAACAAAAGCACGTTTTTTATGTATCCAAGCCAAAACGATATCATACTCCTCTATTCCTTATTCATATCGAAACTGGTGGAGATTGGAAAAAGTTTTCAAACTCTAGAATCGATTAAAATCAAAAACCATCCGCAAACTATGATTCACATAAACATAACGGATCATTTCCTGGCAAAAAGTTTGGAGAAACTCGGCTACAATATCATACGAATCTTCGATCCTGTTGACATTTATTTAAGCGAAATCGGAGACGAATTCAAAGAGATGTTCGTTGAAATTGAACTGGACGAAGAATCCGATCAATATTTCCAAAATGGATGTTTACAAATCAAACATTATCAGAACTATATTACGAAGGCAAGTTCAATGTTGGGTAGCGAATATTTTGGTATTGGACAATTGATATTATCCGAATATGTGGCGTCTATGAAAGAATCGTTGTCGATTATTATCGAAGATATTTTTTGTAAATTGTGCGCTATACATATGACCGAATGCGAGCACATATGCGACGAATTCGAAGCGATCAAAGCTGAAGCGTTGCGAAGGCCTGCCAATAGTGAAGAACTAATAGCTCAAGGTTTGTATTTATATCTCCACCTACCTTTTAGATTACAGGTTCTAACTATTTATATTTATTAGAAAAAGTTTCGAGTAAAAGTAATTTGAATTAGTAATGTATACAAAATGACATTAAGGTATTTTTCGCGGTATTAACCGTTAGATTATGTTATTTACACATGTCTGATTGATCTAAATAACATGATCATAAACGTTCATATTGGTTTTTTGCCGCGAAAAATACCTCATTGTTTGATTGTCTGTCGCTCGTAACCTTAAATGCCGATTAATAACTTCGCAATTTAAGTTGCCGTTACAGTTCCCGTTTGTTTGAAGTTGCAGTCGCCGTTAAACTTAAAACTTTGTTATATTTGAATGTCAGGAAATGTGAAGTGCAACAACTGGCGGTAAAAACAACACAAAATATAAATGCGAAAATGAAAGTAACTTTTTAACTTCCAACGAGAACTGCAACTGCAAGCGGTAACTGTAATTGCAAGTTTATAAATCGGCCTTTAAGGCCGTTGCAGTTATCGCTCCCAGTTACAGTTCCCGTTGGAAGTTAATAAGCTATTTATTATTTGTGCACTTATACTATCTGTTGGTGTAACCGTTCGCTATTTTACATAACGTCCTTGACGTTCCAATATAACAAAGTTTTAAGTTCAACGGCTACTGCAACGTTAAAATAACGGTAACGGTAACTGCCTTTTATGGTCATTTTAAGGTCAACTTTGTTTTTTTAATAGTAGTATTTACACTCTGTTCCAAATTCGAGTTAAGTTAGTCTGTCAGATAATAGTACTTAACCAACTTTGCATTTTAATCTTCAAGGAAAATACATGCTCAGAGTCAAAATGGAAATACTGGGTGAACTTTGCGTAAGAATCGAAGCCATGCTGAAAGATCTCACGCAACTTATGGAATTTGGCACGATAGGAAAAGATCATATGGATTTAAATACCCACACGGTACTTTGGTCGCAAAATTTGGACGAACTGCTGGATCAAAATTCTCTGACATTCGAACAGCTGAAAATGGAAGCTGAAGACAAATTGGCGGCTACGATTGAATATGTTAATGCAGAGACGGACAAAATGTTGCCGTTGTTACATATTTTGGATGATATGGATGACTTTGATCGGTAAATATAATAATATACTATGTTATTAAAAGATATGATTGTTTTGTTGTCATAGGATGTAAGATACACTGAAACTTTAAAGATCTATTGTTTCTTGGCTTCATTCATTAAAAAATAAAAAGTAACCTGATTGCGATGATGGTCTAAAAACAGAAACCCTATCTCATAGGCAGATATTATAAATCGATCTTTTAACATATGTTCCATCACCATTTAAACTGTTAATATATTCAAAAATGAAGAAAAAGCAGATGTGTCTATAATTATTTTTAAACAAAGTTGTTGAGAAAGTTGTTAAAACTAGCTTAAATAGTTTTTAAGTCATTTTTTAGTCGTTTTTAGTTTTTTTGTCTTATTTATAGTCATTGTTTTTAGTCGTTGTTTTTTGTCGCTTTTGTAGTTTTTAGGTATCTTTTTAGTCATTTTATATAGATGTATAGAAAACACTGGAACCGTCAATCACTTATATTTTATTTTGTAGCGCAAGAGAGTACATCATTCAAATAAAGGCCTTCATGGGTAAGATCGTGGAACTTCGCGATCTTATTTGGTGGATAAATAAGGAACAAGTAACTCTGGGTTTCAAAGTGTCCCCGTTTAGTATCACAGAGGACGTCGAAAAATTCCTTCTACCGTTCTATCATCTACTGCAAATCTGCGTGAGCATCAAGAGGCACGTCGAAGTATGTATGGACGGACAATTTGAATTTTTGGATAGCAATTACACCGAAGCGTACATCGAAGAAACTGTTAAAGAGTTACAGAAGACTCAAAAGGCTTACCGAATAAGAATGAAGTTAGTTGTTAATTTTTTAGTAACTTATTTAATCGTTTTTTAATAATTTTTTAGTCGTTTTTATAGTATTTTTTTCGGTTTTTAGTCTTTTTCGCGTTTTGGTCGGTTTTAAAGTCGTGTATGTCGTAGTTTTAGTAGTTTTTGAAATATTTAGTCATTGCACCAAAGGGTATATAGTCGATTTTGTAAAATTTTGATGGTTTTTGCAATTTGTAAGTAGTTTTTAGTCGGGATTTGTACGATTATTAGTCTTCGTTATTAAGTCGTCGTGTTTAATTTAGTCATTTCCTAGTCGTTATTTTTTCTTAAGACGTCTCTTGTAATTTTTAGTCGTTAGTCAATACACTAAAGCCTATATAGTCATTTTAGTAGGTTTTTGTATTTTTTAAGTCATTTGAGCGTTTTTTGTCGTTATTTAGTCGATTTTAAAGCCGTTTTTATTCGAGTTATGTCCTTTTTGGTCATTTTTTTTTTAGTCATTGCACTTAGTTTTTTTTTAATATTTTAGTCGTTTTTTGTTTCCTAGTAAATTTTTTAATAATTTTTGTAGGTTTTTACTCGGATTTTTGTCATACAGATGAAACAAAAAGCGTATTGAATTAGTCGTTTTTTTCGCATTTTTTTTAGTCGTTTTGTTTCCAAGTTAACGCCTAAGTACTTTTGTAGTTTTTGTGGCATTTTCTAATTTTTAGTCGCTTTTTTAATAATTTTGGTCGGGGTTGTTGTCGTTTTTTAGTAGATTTTACTCATAGTTTTTTAAGTCGTCGTTTTTTAGCCATCGTTTTTAGTCGTTTTTATTTGCTTATTTTTAGTTGTTTTTAGCAGTTTTTTTGTCGTTTTCTGGTAATCTTTTGTCGTTTCTGTCTGTTTTAAATAATTCTTGTCATTTTTCAGTCACTTTTAGTAGTGTTTAGGTATTATATAGATTTTATATTATATAGATTTTTTTTTAGTAAATTTGTGTTTTTTCTTTCAGTTATTAGGTGTTTTATAAAAATGCTCAGTCATGCTTTTTGTTTTTTAGTCGCTTTTTAATTTTTTGGACGTTTTTGTCAATTTTTAAAGTAATTTTTTTAGATTTTAGTCGTTTTTAGCTGCTTTTTATTATTTTGTAGTAGTTTTTAGTTTTGTTTATTTATTTTTTTTTTCGTTTTTTTTTTTCGTTTTTTTTTTTTTTAATACCGTTCTAATTGCTTTTTAGTCCATTTTTTTACTTGTTCTTTAATAAGTTTTTAATACTTCTTAGTCGGTTTTTATCGTTTTGTCATTTTTTGTCGTTTTTTAATATTTTTAGTCGGGCTTTTGTCGATTTTTTAGTATATTTTAGTCGTAGTTCTTTTAGTCGTCGTTTTTTAGCCATCGTTTTTAGTCATTTCTATTTGCTCCCTTTTTAGTCGTACTTGGTTTTTATATGCTTTATTTAGTAATTTCTAGTTGGTTTTAACAGTTTCTTGTCGTTTTCTGGTAATCTTCTGTCGTTTTTGTCTGTTTTAATTAATTCTTGTCGTTTTTTAATAGTGTTTAGGTATTATATAGAAATTTTTAGTCGATTTGTGTTTTCTCATTCAGTTGTTAAGATGTTTTATAAAAATGTTTAGTCATTTTGTTTTTTCTTGTTTTTTAGTCGCTTTTTTAATTTTTTTGACGTTTTTGCATTTTTCAAAATATTTTTTAGATTTTAGTCGTTTTTAGTCGCTTTTTATTATTTTGTAGTAGTTTTTATTTGTTTTTTGCCTATTTTTTAATCGTTTTTTTTTAAATAACGTTCTAGTTGGTCTTTTAGTCCATTTTTATATTTTTTTATTTGTTCTCTGATGAATTTTTAATATTTCTTAGTCGTTTTATCGTTTTTGTCACTTTTTGTCGTTTTTAAATATTTTTAGTCCGTGTTTTGCCTTATTTTTGTATATTTTAGTCGTAATTCTTTAAGTCGTCGTTTTTAGTCGTCTTTATTTGCTCTCTTTTAGTCGTACTTTTTTTTAGTTTTTTTTTATATATGCTTAATTTAGTAATTTTTTAGTTGAATTTAGCAGTTTCTTGTCGTTTTCTATTAATCTTTTGTTGTTTTTGTCTGTTTTAAATAGTTCTTGTCGTTTTTTAGTCACTTTTAGTAGTGTTTAGGTATTATATAGAAATTTTTAGTTGATTTGTATTTTGTCATTCAGTTGTTTAGCTGTTTTATAAAAAAATTATTTTATTCGTTTTGTTTTTCTTGTTTAGCCGCTTTTTTAATTTTTTGGTCATTTTTGTCGATTTTTAGTCGCTTTTTATTATTTTGTAGTAGTTTTTAGTAGTTTTTAATCATTTTTTTAATAGCGTTCTAGTTGCTTTTTAGTCCATTTTTCTATTATTTTTATTTGATATTTAATAGGTTTTTAAAACTTCTTAGTTGTTTTTTGTCGTTTTTAGTGGTTTTATTGTTTTTGCCGTTTTATCGTTTTTGTCGTTATCGTTTTTGTTGTTGTCGTTATCGTTTTTGTTGTTGTCGTTATCGTTTTTGTTGTTGTCGTTATCGTTATCGTTTTTGTTGTTGTCGTTATCGTTTTTGTCGTTTTCTGTGTTTTTGTCGTTTTGTGTTTTTGTCGTTTTTTAGTTAATTTTGTCGTTTCTTTAACTGCGTTAAGCATTTTAACTCTATTTAATTTACGCTCTTCATTCGCACATATTTTATTTCGTCTCAGACAAGACGTGAAGACTGGACTTCGTTTTTTCGGCGTGGTCGAGGATCCGGACATGATGAGCTGGCCGGCGCCGTTAAAAATGATTGCGCAAGCGCAGGCCGCCATTAGAGACTTCAGGGAGCCGATGATGTTTTTGAAAATTATGTGTAACGATGCTTTAACGAAAAGGCACTGGAAGGAAATGTCGAGGCTAGCTGGTTTCGATTTAACGCCAGACGCTGGTACAACGTTGAGGAAGTTCACAGAAATGGGTGAGTATACAATAATAATTACGTTGCGTCGAAAAATACAATATTTATTACGTTTTTAAATAGGATTGGAACCGGAAATTGATAAATACGATGTAATTAGCTCAGGAGCGACCAAAGAACGAGAACTCTTCGCAAATCTCATCAAAATGACAGCAGAGTGGGACGATATCTTTTTCAACATCGGACAGTATAAAGATTCCGGCAGATATATTCTTACCGGGTTAGACGATGTCCAAATCATTTTGGACGATCATATATTGAAAGCTTTGATGATGCGTGGTTCCATTTATGTCAAACCCTATGAAGTTGAAGTGGGAGCGTTTTATGAAAAACTGGTTAGAATCAATAGAACTATCGATGTTTGGGGTAAAGTACAGGTGCAGTGGCTTTACTTGCTGCCGATTTTTTCGTCTAAAGATATCGTTGCTCAAATGCCTGAGGAAGGAAATTTGTTTAAAGAGGTAAATAAGAAATAAAATTAACCATTTTGATAGTCTCTACCTTTAATTAAAATTAAATATCTTTCTAAATCGATGTTTTAAAATAGTAAATTATATGAAATTTTCTACTCGTTTTTGCCTATGGCGTGAATTTTAAATCTCTTCCTTAAATTAAATTTACATATTATTTAAAATTATCACTTTCTAATAACTAAAGATATATTATCTTACATTATTTAGGTAAATGACTTGTACAAACGGTACATGGACGTAGTCGCTAGAGAACCTAGAGTGTACGAGACCGCTGGAGGCGCTGGCGTACAAGAAACTATGGAGTATTGCATGGACTTATTAGAAAAGATCAACGAGGGCGTGACCAATTATTTGGAGAAAAAACGATTGTTCTTTCCGAGATTCTTCTTTCTATCTAACGATGAAATGCTCGAAATCCTTTCTGAAACGAAAGAACCTCATAAAGTCCAGCCGCATTTGAAAAAATGCTTCGAAGCCATTAATACTCTTCAGTTTAACGAAAAAATGGATATTTTAGGTGGGTTTATAAAGCTTGTCCAGGTTAATCAATTTTATGGTTTCGTAGATTTTAGTCGAAAGCTTTTTAGTCGTCGTGTTTTAGTTGACGTTTTTTGCCTATTTTTTTAGTCGTTTTTTAATTACGTTCTAGTTGCTTTTTAGTCTATTTTTATGTATTTTTTTATTTGTTCTTTAATAGGTTTTTAATACTTCTTAGCCGTTTTTTTTTGTCGTTTTATCGTTTTTGTAATTTTTTGTCGTTTTTTAATATTGTCAGTCGGGTTTTTGTCGTTTTTTAGTATATTTTAGTCGTAGTTCTTTTAGTCGTCGATTTTTAGTCATCGTTTTTAGTCGTCTTTATTTGCTCTCTTTTTTTAGTCGTACTTTTTTTAGTTGGTTTTTTATATGCTTGATTTAGTAATTTTTAGCAGTTTCTTGTCGTTTTCTAGTAATCTTTTGTCGTTTTTGTCGTGTTTTAAATAGTTCTTTTCATTTTTTAGTCACATTTAGAATTGTTTAGGTATTATATATAGAAATTTTTAGTTGGATTTGTGTTTTGTCATTCAGTTGTTTAGTTGCTATTTAATTTTTTTTTTGACGTTTTTATCGATTTTTAAAGTAATTTTTATAAATTTTATTCGCTTTTTCTTATTTTTTATTAGTTTTTAGTTGTTTTTTGCCTATTTTTATTCTCTTTTTTAATAACGTTCTAGTTGCTTTTATATTATTTTATTTATTCTTTAATAGCTTCCTAATACTTTCTAGTCGTTTTTGTCGTTTTGTTTGTCGCTTTTTTACGCTTTTTGTCGTTTTTGTTGGTTTTTGTCGTTTTTTGTCGTTCTTTATCGTTTTTTGTCGTTTTTGTAATTTTTTGTCGTTTTTTTATTTGATTTTATTGTTTCTTTAACTAGATTAAGCATTTTAAATCTTTTTAATTTACGCTCTTTATTCGCACATATTTTATTTCGTCGCAGACAAGACGTGAAGACTGGCCTTCGTTTTTTCGGCGTGGTCGAGGATCCAGACATGATGAGCTGGCCGGCGCCGTTAAAAATGATCGCGCTAGCGCAAGCCGCCATTAGAGACTTCAGATAAATTTGAGTCAGAGGCTTTTTAGTCGTCGTTTTTTAGTTGACGTTTTTTAGTTGTTGTTTCTTAGTTATCTTAATTTTTTCTTTTTAGTCGTTAATTTTTTAGTGAGTAGTGATTTTTGCCGATTTTTAAGTAGTTTTTGTCTATTTGAGTTACTTATTAGTATTTTTTAGTCTTTTTTGCAGCTTTTTTCAATCGTTTTTATCTTATTTTTTATTGGTTGCTTCTAGTCGTCATCATTTTATAGTCATCGGCTTTTTAGTCGCTCTTTTTAGTATTTTTGTTAGTATTTAAGTAGTTTTTGTCTATTTTAGTTGCTTATTACTAATTTTTAGTCGTTTTTAGTTGATTTTTCTATTTATTTTTTCAGTCGTTTTTAGATGCCATTTTTTTTGACACCTTTTTTAGTATTTTTGGTCGTATTTTAACCAATTTTTAAGCCAGCATTAAAGTCGATTTTGGTCAAGTTTATAAAACTTGTCCAGAAAGATAAGTTGGTATAAAAAAGGATTAAAAAAAAAGAGTTAGTGGTTTTTAGCCGTAGGTTTTTGTCGTTTTTTAGTCGTTCTTAGTCGGATTTTTGTCGTTTTTCAATAGTTTTTACTCGTTTTTTTAATCGTTTATTTCTTTAGTTCTTACTTTTATTATTTTAGCCATGTTCAGCTGTGAAGGCGAAAAAATAAATCTTAAAAGCATCGTGTCCACCAGAGACGCGGGCGGTAGCGTCGAAATATGGCTGCTTCAAGTCGAAGAGCAAATGTTGACGTCCGTTTTGGATCAAATACTAAGAAGTTACAAAAACTACATTATCATACCTAGAACGCAATGGATTCAAAAATGGCCGGGGCAAATTGTCATATGCGTTTCGCAGATGTTCTGGACGAATTACGTACATTTATCTCTTAATCGTGAACAAGGAATGACAATTCCGATTTACTTAGGTATTACAAATTATTACAAATTTGTTACAAAGTTATTGCAACGTTAATAAAAAGTAATTAGAAAGTTGTTACACAGTTATCACAAAGTTATTGCACCGATATTATAAAGATATTACAAATATATTACAAAGATATTACAAAGCTATTACAAAGTCATTACAACGTTATTACAAAGTTATTACAAAGTTATTACAAAGTTATTACAAAGTTATTACAAAAATATTACCACGTTGTTACAAAGTTATCACAAAGTTATCACAAATATCTTACAAAGTAATCACAAAGTAACCACAAAGTTATCGCAAAATTATCACAAATTTATCACAAAGTTAACACGCAGTTAAGTACTAAAAAGTTATTATAAAGGATTTTAAAAACTAAAAATTATAGTGCTTGTAAATGGTGCAGCAAGTTTTATTTAAACGATTTTCTTCTAGATATGCTTAGAGAACAACTAGGTGATATAGTCAGTTTGATCAGAGACCCTTCGTTAACCAACCTATCGAGAATCACTATAAAGGCGTTGATCGTCATCGATGTACATGCTAAAGACGTTGTCGAAGAACTTAACAAGAAACATGTCGATAACGATAAAGAGTTCAAATGGCTTTCCCAGATGCGATATTATTGCGAAGACGATGAACCATTTGTCAGGATCATTAATGCTACCGTGAAATATTCCTGTGAATATCTAGGTATAATTTTTAACCTTTTCCTTATAATACTCTGGTCATTCACTACGGTTTTGAAACTTTTCAAACTAAGAAACGCGAAGATATCTTTTGAAATTTACATTTAGCTCTATAAAGTGTAACATTAGAGGAGCTTTCAATATTACTAACATCCTGAAGGAACTTAGTTTTAATAGCGTCAGCAGTTACTTTGATGCCAGAGCTCTCAATGTCCATAATCAATGGTTTAAAAGTTAAGTACCAATCCATTCGTGATTTCCACACCATTGCCTTTAAGTTTCTGTACAATTTATAATATTTTATTTTATTAATATTTTAGTCTTCAATGATAGGACTCTCTTCCAAATTACATGTAAGCAGTTCTAAGAATGCTTATTAGGACCTTTATCTTTAAATGCTTTTCCTAAGTTTTCCCATGATCTTCTAAAACTCTTCGGTTTGAACGTGAACATAGTCGATAAGATCAATTTTACTTCACGTTTTCAAGTCCTATCTAACTTTTGAAGTTGTGCAATAATACAATCCCACAATTCTTCTTGTACAAGCTACACCTTAATAGCAAATTTTTATAAGTTCCTCCTAAATTTTGAATCGGAGGGAAAATTCAAGAACCAGACTTTATCAAATTTAAAACGCCTTAAGAGAACAACACACCTTAGATTTGTAAATCTTAATATACTCAAAACTATGCCTTAGTTGCTAGTAACCTTTAAAATACGAACAGCTTCAAACAGAAGAAGTTATTATTTATTTAAAATACAATTGAACTTCCTCTATTTAAAGCAACTTTGCTACAAAAGTTAACTTCTTGCTGATTATATTTTAGGCAACTCGGATAGATTGGTGATAACACCTCTGACAGACAGATGTTACCGGACTCTAATAGGAGCTTTCCATCTTCATCTGAACGGTGCTCCAGAAGGTCCAGCTGGAACTGGAAAGACTGAAACCACTAAAGACTTGGCGAAAGCCATAGCTGTACAATGCGTCGTCTTCAACTGTTCAGATGGATTAGATTACAAGGCCATGGGAAAGTTTTTCAAAGGAATGGCTTCCAGTGGCGCATGGGTAATCTATTTTTATTCTTATTTCCCTTCCCGTAATCCATTTTTATAATTTTTCAGGTTTGCTTCGATGAATTTAACAGAATAGACATTGAAGTGTTATCCGTAGTCGCCCAACAGATTCTGCTGATTGTTCAAGCCGTCAGAGCGCACGCCGAGAAATTCAACTTCGAAGGAACCGAAATTAAATTGAATCCCACTTGCTACGTATGCATCACGATGAACCCGGGATATGCGGGAAGATCCGAATTGCCAGATAACTTAAAGGTTGGTAAATCGTTTATTATTATTACTAGATATATGATTAGGGAATCTTAGCGGTTGTATCTCAAGAATAATTTAACCTACGGCTTCGAACAATTAATATAAATAAAGTTGATCTAGAAGAAATAATGGTAATGGGAACGATTTGAATAAATGTTACAAACGTTTTTGCTCTATTCATTAGAATAACTGGTAAAGACTCAGTTTTGCCCATCGAAATTAAAATATGTAACTAAAATATACCTATACAGTGCAACCTCTTTAATCCGAACACCTAATTGTCAGACCTTGTTCGGATTATGGAATTGTTTGGATTAACGAATATACAATAAAACACCTCTTACACATTTTTAGACCTTTAGATCTATATATGTATATTGATTTTTGTACATTTAAAATCATTATCAAACTACATATGGGCGACGCGGGCCCGCTGCAGGTCTTTTCCTGTCAGTGTTCAGATTACAGAGACGGCATTATGACTATCTCGCATCACGATTTGCGTTCGGATTAGCGTGGGTTCGGATTATCGAGGTTGCACTGTATATAAATTTTAAAAATCTATAAAAATTTATAAAATCTATAAAAACCTATAAAAATCTATAAAAATCTATAAAAATCTATAAAAATCTATAAAAATCTATAAAAATCTATAAAAATCTATAAAAATCTATAAAAATCTATAAAAATCTATAAAAATCTATAAAAATCTATAAAATCTATAAAAATATATCTATAAAATCTATCTATAAAAATCTGTCTAAAAAAATCTATCTATAAAAATCTATCTATAAAAATCAATCTATAAAATCTATCTATAAAAATCTATCTATAAAAATCTATCTTTAAAAATCTATCTATAAAAATCTATCTATAAAAATATATCTATAAAATCTACCTATAAAAATATATCTATAAAATCTATCTATAAAAATCTATCTAAAAAAATCTATCTATAAAAATCAGTCTATAAAATCTATCTATAAAAATCTATCTATAAAAATCTATCTATAAAAATCTATAAAAATTTGTAAAAATCTATAAAAATCTATAAAAATCTATAAAAATCTATAAAAATCTATAAAAATCTATAAAAATCTATAAAATCTATAAAAATATATCTATAAAATCTATCTATAAAAATCTATCTAAAAAAATCTATCTATAAAAATCTATCTATAAAAATCAGTCTATAAAATCTATCTATAAAAATCTATCTATAAAAATCTATCTTTAAAAATCTATCTATAAAAATCTACCTATAAAAATATATCTATAAAATCTATCTATAAAAATCTATCTAAAAAAATCTATCTATAAAAATCTATCTATAAAAATCAGTCTATAAAATCTATCTATAAAAATCTATCTATAAAAATCTATCTATAAAAATATATCTATAAAAATATATCTATAAAAATCTACCTATAAAAATATATCTATAAAATCTATCTATAAAAATCTATCTAAAAAAATCTATCTATAAAAATCAGTCTATAAAATCTATCTATAAAAATCTATCTATAAAAATCTATCTATAAAAATCTATCTATAAAAATCTATCTATAAAAATCTATAAAAATTTGTAAAAATCTATAAAAATCTATAAAAATCTATAAAAATCTATAAAAATCTATAAAAATTCATAAAAATCCATAAAAATCTATCTATAAAAAATCTATCTACAAAAATCAATCTATAAAATCTGCCTATAAATCTATCTATAAAAATCTATCCATAAAAACATATCCATAAAAATCTACCTATCAAAATCTATCTATAAAAATGTATAAAAATGTATAAAAATGTATAAAAATGTATAAACATGTATAAAAATGTATAAAAATGTATAAAAATGTATAAAAATGTATAAAAATGTATAAAAATGTATAAAAATGTATAAAAATGTATAAAAATGTATAAAAATGTATAAAAATGTATAAAAATGTATAAAAATGTATAAAAATGTATAAAAATGTATAAAAATGTATAAAAATGTATAAAAATGTATAAAAATGTATAAAAATGTATAAAAATGTATAAAAATGTATAAAAATGTATAAAAAATGTATAAAAATGTATAAAAATGTATAAAAATGTATAAAAATGTATAAAAATGTATAAAAATGTATAAAAATGTATAAAAATGTATAAAAATGTATAAAAATGTATAAAAATGTATAAAAATATATAAAAATGTATAAAAATGTATAAAAATGTATAAAAATGTATAAAAATGTATAAAAATGTATAAAAATGTATAAAAATGTATAAAAATGTATAAAAATGTATAAAAATGTATAAAAATGTATAAAAATGTATAAAAATGTATAAAAATGTATAAAAATGTGTAAAAATGTATAAAAATGTATAAAAATGTATAAAAATGTATAAAAATGTATAAAAATGTATAAAAATGTATAAAAATGTTTAAAAATGTATAAAAATCTATAAAACTCTACAAAAATCGATCTCATAATATTGGCGCTATTGATTCAACCTCGTGTAGAATTAAAAAATTAGACTTATAGACTGTCATATTAAAATGGAACAAATAGTAATGATAAAAAAGAATTCCCCTACTTACTTGTAAACTGAGTACGATTTAGAGAAGTTACTAACCTGAAATCAAACAAAAAAATATGTCAATTATACTACTACAATTGTTTTTTATTTTTCTTTAATTTGTATCGACTCTTGTGGGTTTAGACATTCTATTTTAGTTTTGGTTATACTGGCATTAAATTCTTCTGCAGGTGCTGTTCCGAACAGTCGCCATGATGGTTCCGGATTATGCTTTAATTGGAGAGATATCTCTATATTCGTATGGATTTTTAGACGCCAGAAATTTGTCTGTCAAAATCGTTACAGTCTACAGGTTGTGTTCTGAGCAGTTATCTTCTCAGAATCATTACGATTATGGTAAGAAAGTTTAAAAAATATTAAATATATTATTAAATCAATAAAAATATAAATATTTTGATTGGTTTTATCGAACAAATTAAATGTAAACGAAACTAAAAGAAAGTAAGGGATATTTTAATAACTACTAATATTTTTGTTCTAAATATTTTGTTTGCTGGTCATAAAAAATAGTTTAAAGGTATGTAACTGGTAAAAAACGCTTATATATCTACTTTAAGAATATATTTATAAAACAAATAAAATGTACCCTAAAGTATATTATCACTTTTTCAATAAAACCAAAATTACATTACTAATTTAGTATATTGATTGATCAGTTTGATATCCAGAGCCAGGCTAGCCTGATATATTAATATAATATGTTGGATATATTTCCAACAGTGACTTTACTTCTCATTTACTTCTGTACACCGGTTAAATATTCTCTCCTATAGTATATAGAGTACTGCACCTCTATTTTAGGTATGAGAGCGGTAAAATCTGTCCTATCAGCCGCTGGCAACAATAAGCGAAAATTCCCCGACGAAATAGAAGATATTTTACTCCTACGGGCTATCCTAGATGTCAATTTACCTAAGTTTTTAAACCAAGACTTGCCTTTATTCGATGGCATCATTGCGGATCTGTTTCCGGGTGTCGTTTTACCCCAGGCTGACTATTCGAAACTGATTGAAAATATGTTGGTAAGTTGAATTTTAGTAATAAATAAAGTATTTTTTTATCACTACTTGATTTTTCAAGAAGTGTATAATGGTGGGTATTATCCACGAATATAACATTTTTCCACAGAGTTTTAAGGTTTACTTTTGTATTTCATTTGTACTTTGAAAAGGAAGATAACCATTAAAATGATGAAAAATAATTTCAATTCAATTCGGTACAAGATTTGATCATTCCAGCATCTTTGAGTTTCAAGGTGTGATGGCAACAATTAAAATCATGCGTTTCTACATTCTGAAATTTATGTTAAGAACAATTTGACCCCTGAGTTTCTCTTTATCTCCATCTGTTGCTATCTGTACAGTTTATCCTCTCTTGTTTTTTTTATAAAAATCATTTTATTTTACCAGAATATTATTCCTAACACTGACTATTAAAAAATCTATTAAACTACTGTGGAATTAAACATTTAAAAACTTTTACAGATCAATTGCGAAAAATGGAATCTCATTCCCAAAGACTGCATGATTACTAAAGTGATACAAACGTACGAAATGATGATAGTCAGATGGGGTTTTATGATTGTTGGATATCCTCTTGCTGGAAAAAGTTCTATATTGAATGTTTTAGCTGATACACTCACTTTGATGAACGCCAAAGGTTAGTGAAATAACCGAGTATCTAAAATAAATCTGATATATAAAACATGTACAACCGGTTGCAACAGCGTCCATTAAAATGTCCCATAAACTTTGACAGAGCTTGAGACTCATCTATTTCAAATGCACAAGTCAAATAATAACATTACGGGATCATTAGCTATTTGAAAGATTTAAATAATATTTTTTATAGGTCTCGGCGAAGAGAAGGTAGAAACCGTAATCCTCAACCCAAAAGCAATCAGCATGGGTCAGCTATACGGCCAATTCGATCTGATATCGTACGAATGGTTCGACGGCGTCATAGCAGTTTGTTTCAGAAATTTTGCCACCGATACCAGCCCGAACAGGAAGTGGATGATATTCGATGGTCCGGTGGACGCCGTATGGATCGAAAACATGAACAGTGTATTAGATGATAATCGGAAATTGTGTTTGATGTCCGGTGAAGTTATGTCAATGAACAGTACACAATCGCTTATATTTGAAGTGATGGATTTGGAACAAGCGTCTCCTGCAACGGTTCGATAGTGTATTTAATCTTTTTTTTTTATTTTTTAAGTGTCGTCTCAGTTATAATCTTACAAATATGAAAACAAATTAGATTTGGAGAAAATTTCTGTTTAATTCTTTAGTAAATAGAGATAAATAACTCTCCTAGCCTTCAAACACAAAAAAAAAACAAATTTAAACCTTGTTAATCTAGAGTTAATAATGAATGGCATATTTGGAACAATTGGTTGATTTTCCCTAGATCTGGGGGAAACAATTTGACTATGGAAAATGGCAACATCGCAATTGTTATTGGTCCGCTTCGAATAAATCTGCTAAAAAATGAGAGTGTCGAACAATATGTTTTGTAGCTTCACAGTTTATGATATTTCAATCAATTTTAAGACGTATATTCTTAATGTACTTACAAAAAAATAAGTTTAGTGAATTCTTGTAGGTAAATGTTGAAAAATAGATTAGGTTTGTAAGCGCTTATGGTTAAACTAAAACATTCATTGTTAACATGGAGGAATCGTTGTGAAAAAATGTAAAGAAAAAAGAAACCGACATACTATTAACAAACTGTCGTTCTTAGCAGACGTCGTGCGAAAACTACATGACACTGCGAACAATCCCATTCAAAGTGGTTCAATAATAACAAAGGTATACATTATATTGCAATGTTGCCATATTTTTAGTTAAATTTTTCTTTAGATCTGGGGAAAAAATCGTCAAAGTGATCCAAACGTATTAATTTGGAAACCTCCCTTTTTACCGATAAACAATCATCTTTATGAACAATTTTAACTCATACAGGTGTCTAGATGCGGAATGATATACATGGAGCCCTCGACTTTAGGATGGCGTCCGTTTTTCGATGCTTGGTTGCCCACTTGCAATCCCGCTTGGATGTCGGGAAACCGCGAGTTCGTTATAAGGGAAGTATTCGATTGGATCGTGAATCCCTGTTTGGATTTCATACGAAAACATTGTGTACAATTTTGTCAACCGGGCGAAATCAGTCAAGTGCTGAACATGATGAGCATGCTGGAAATGCAGATGAACGATGCTTGTGGTGCCGCACCCGAAGCTGATAAGTATTACGATGGATGGGTGCAAGTAGCGCTTATTATAGCTGGTGAGTTCTTGTAGTGTATATTTTTTAAATGAAACAATATTTTGGCTTGTAATGAAAGTAATTTCCTTTTTACTTATTTTACTTATATTTTACTTATATTTTACTTATATTTTACTTATATTTTACTTATATTTTACTTATATTTTACTTATATTTTACTTATATTTTACTTATATTTTACTTATATTTTACTTATATTTTACTTATATTTTACTTATATTTTACTTATATTTTACTTATATTTTACTTATATTTTACTTATATTTTACTTATATTTTACTTATATTTTACTTATATTTTACTTATATTTTACTTATATTTTACTTATATTTTACTTATATTTTACTTATATTTTACTTATATTTTACTTATATTTTACTTATATTTTACTTATATTTTACTTATATTTTACTTATATTTTACTTATATTTTACTTATATTTTACTTATATTTTACTTATATTTTACTTATATTTTACTTATATTTTACTTATATTTTACTTATATTTTACTTATATTTTACTTATATTTTACTTATATTTTACTTATATTTTACTTATATTTTACTTATATTTTACTTATATTTTACTTATATTTTACTTATATTTTACTTATATTTTACTTATATTTTACTTATATTTTACTTATATTTTACTTATATTTTACTTATATTTTACTTATATTTTACTTATATTTTACTTATATTTTACTTATATTTTACTTATATTTTACTTATATTTTACTTATATTTTACTTATATTTTACTTATATTTTACTTATATTTTACTTATATTTTACTTATATTTTACTTATATTTTACTTATATTTTACTTATATTTTACTTATATTTTACTTATATTTTACTTATATTTTACTTATATTTTACTTATATTTTACTTATATTTTACTTATATTTTACTTATATTTTACTTATATTTTACTTATATTTTACTTATATTTTACTTATATTTTACTTATATTTTACTTATATTTTACTTATATTTTACTTATATTTTACTTATATTTTACTTATATTTTACTTATATTTTACTTATATTTTACTTATATTTTACTTATATTTTACTTATATTTTACTTATATTTTACTTATATTTTACTTATATTTTACTTATATTTTACTTATATTTTACTTATATTTTACTTATATTTTACTTATATTTTACTTATATTTTACTTATATTTTACTTATATTTTACTTATATTTTACTTATATTTTACTTATATTTTACTTATATTTTACTTATATTTTACTTATATTTTACTTATATTTTACTTATATTTTACTTATATTTTACTTATATTTTACTTATATTTTACTTATATTTTACTTATATTTTACTTATATTTTACTTATATTTTACTTATATTTTACTTATATTTTACTTATATTTTACTTATATTTTACTTATATTTTACTTATATTTTACTTATATTTTACTTATATTTTACTTATATTTTACTTATATTTTACTTATATTTTACTTATATTTTACTTATATTTTACTTATATTTTACTTATATTTTACTTATATTTTACTTATATTTTACTTATATTTTACTTATATTTTACTTATATTTTACTTATATTTTACTTATATTTTACTTATATTTTACTTATATTTTACTTATATTTTACTTATATTTTACTTATATTTTACTTATATTTTACTTATATTTTACTTATATTTTACTTATATTTTACTTATATTTTACTTATATTTTACTTATATTTTACTTATATTTTACTTATATTTTACTTATATTTTACTTATATTTTACTTATATTTTACTTATATTTTACTTATATTTTACTTATATTTTACTTATATTTTACTTATATTTTACTTATATTTTACTTATATTTTACTTATATTTTACTTATATTTTACTTATATTTTACTTATATTTTACTTTTATTTTACTTTTATTTTACTTTTACTTATATTTTACTTATATTTTACTTTTATTTTACTTTTATTTTACTTATATTTTACTTATATTTTACTTATATTTTACTTATATTTTACTTATATTTTACTTATATTTTACTTATATTTTACTTATATTTTACTTATATTTTACTTATATTTTACTTATATTTTACTTATATTTTACTTATATTTAATTTATATTTGACTTATTTTTGACTTACATTTTACTTTTATTTTACTTTTTTTAATATAATTTTTTTACTTTTTTTACTTTTTTTACTTTTTCTACTTTTTACTTTTTTTACTTCTTTACTTTTTTTACTTCTTTACTTTTTTTACTTTTTTACTTTTTTTTACTTTTTTTACTTTTTTTAATTTTTTTACTTTTTTTACTTTTTTTACTTTTTTTTACTTTTTCTACTTTTTCTACTTTTTCTACTTTTTCTTTTTTTACTTTTTTACTTTTTTTACTTTTTACTTTAAAAAATTTTAACTTTTTTTACTTTTTAATTTTTTTACTTTTTCACTTTTTTTAGTTTTTTACTTTTTTTACTTATTTTACTTTTTTACTTTTTTTACTTTAATTTTTTACTTTATTAGCTTTTTTTTGCTTTTTTTACTTTTTTTACTTTTTTTTACTTTTTTTATTTTTTGCTTTTTTTTACTTTTTACTTTTCTACTTTTTTACTATTTTATTTTTTTATTTTTTTGAATTTATTTATTTATTTATAATTAAGAAAAACTACAGCTAATAACTTTAAACAATTTTAGACAATTCAAATGAGATGAAACATTTCTTCTCTTTTCTTTTATCTTTTCTCTTGAATCTTATTTATGACGTAAACATAATAACAATATAATTTTTAGGTGTTTGGGGCTTAGGTTCAGTCCTAGACGCCGATTCGAGAGATAAATTTGACGAATTTTACCGAGCGCTGTGGTTGGGGGAAATCCCGCATCATCCAACTCCAGAAATACTGGGAAACAAAGATATTTTCATGCCTGCTCCAGAAGGTTTGATTATGGACTACCAATTTTTTTTTAGATCGAAAGGTAACTGGAAATATTTACCTGACGTAGTAAAGAATCAACGAGTAGATGAGTGCACAAGTATTATGCAAACGATTATTCCTACAATAGATACGATGCGGTGAGTATTATATTCTTTAAAACCTCTATAGGTTTGTGGTTGTCTTGGATCTAGTTAATTAAAAAACTCACATACGGAGCCGTGAGGAAAAAAATGTGCCCTAAACACCCCAAAATGATTCTGTGATTATGTAGAAGAGTTGTTAAGCGAATGATCTTTCATTTAAACACAAGGATACTGTACAAAAGTAACCAGAAAAAAAAATCTTAAGATCTATAACACGTACAGACGCTGAGAGACGACATTGCTTTTTAAACGGTTTTTGACCGAACGTTATAACTTTTGTCCATGCCACTAAACTAAGGAATAATCCCGACAGTGTTGCCAACTGTCAATAAAAAGAAGTCGCTTCTAAAACAACCATTTTAATAATTTCTGTTTATAGGTCTGTTCTGGTCCTTTAGAAATATTTTAAAAACTCTCCGAGTGCAAATTTGAAAAGTTTTACGGAACGCAAAATTTGATATTCATCCAGAACAATCCTTATGTCACGTGTTTCAGGTACATGGCTCTTCTGAACATGCACATTCGACACGGCAACAAGTGCCTCTTGATGGGCCCCACCGGTACGGGTAAATCCTTCTACACCGTAGACATGTTGATGAACAGATTGGACAAAGAAAAATTCGAACCGGCGTTCATTACTTTTACGGCGCAAATCAGTTGCAATCAGTTGCAGGATCTCGTTATATCGAAATTGCAAAAGAGAAGAAGAGCTCGATATGGGGCACCGAAAGGAAAAGTGTCCGTCATTTTTATCGACGATGTTAACATGCCGATGAAGGAGATATACGGTGCACAGCCACCTTTGGAGCTACTTCGGCAGTTCTTTGATCATAAAAATTGGTATATATTTTTTAACAATGTAACTATAGTTTAGTGTTATTGTAGTTTTGTTATTATTTATATAAAACCAAATCTCATAGATAAAAATACCAAGCGGAGGTGTAAGAACCTTAAAATATAAAAAAAGTTTGTGGAAAGATCAAGAATTTATATCACTCACTTTACATTAACAAGTTTAACAATGTAGCTATAGTTTAGTTTTATTGTATTTTTGTTATTACGCATATAAAACCAAAACCCATCGATAAAAGTACCAAGCGGAGGTGTAAGAACCTTAAAATATAAAAAAAGTTTGTCGAAAAATAAAGAATTTATATCACTCACTTTACATTAACGAGTTTAACAATGTAGTTATAATTAAGTTTTATTGTAGTTTTGTTATTATTCATATAAAACCAAAATCCATCGATAAAAATACCAAGCAGAGGTGTAAGAACCTTAAAATATAAAAAAGTTTGTGGAAAAACCAAGAATTTATATTAAAAACCTTTAAAATCAACGATGTTCACTATTTTACTTTGTAGGTACGATTTAAAAACCACCGAACCAATTTACTTATACGACATCCTATTTATCGGAGCCATGGGTCTAGTAGGAGGCAGCAGACAAGACATATACCCGAGATTCTTAAGACATTTCAATATATTTTCAATAAACGAATTCAGTACGGAAAGTATGGCGAAAATATACTCGAACATTTTGCTACTAGGTTGGAAATCAAACGGATTTCCCTCGGACGTTATAAATCAAGTAACGCCGGTAATAAACGCCAGCTTGGACATGTATAGGGCTGCTTTGTTGAATCTTAGACCCACGCCGTCGAAGAGCCACTACGTTTTCAATTTGAGAGATTTTTCTAGATTGGTTCAAGGTATGCTTTATTAAAAATTTTATGTTCGACAATATGCGGCACACAAAAGAATTATTACACTAAAAAATATGAAACAGAACTGTTAACGAACCGGTTTGATAGATAATACTGTGATAATTATTTAAAAGACGTTCTTTGACAGATCGGCGGTTAGTAAACATAACTGTTCTATTAATACTATTAGAAAATAATGAGGCTGGTAACAATATCTCAAGAAATGGAAAGAAAAAAATTCCTTTTCTGCATTTTAAAAATTGATTTGAATCTTTTTACGAACGTACGTCTTACCACCTTATTTGTTGAATGCAGTAGCGTAGGGGAGAATCTTAGAATCCGGAACCATAATTTAGCGGGTAAAAATGACATACATCACTTCTTGCTTCAACAGCGTTCTCAGAAAAGTGTATCCCACTTCTTCAGACTGCTTGGTTCTCGGGCACAATCGGCTCAACGTGCACATACCGCGAAAATTCAAAATATGACGAAATTATAAAATAAAAAGCATATTTAACCGAATTGGCCTTGTAGATCAATTACCCAGTAAACCTCAAATAGTCGGCATTCGCTCGACCTGACACCGGCATGTACGGGAAGCCGAGTACTTGGATTGCCGTTGCCGGAGTTTTTTCTGAGCCAGGAGGACCATACCATTTGACGTAATTTAGAAGTAGAAACCGCATATGATCCATATTTGGCGTTCCAGACATGAGAAGCATCCTTACGGGTCGAGCGCGGTTAATATTTGGCTAACTGGGGATGGGAGGCATCCTTACGGACCGAATTATATATAGATATATGAACGCGGCTACAATTTAGTGGACAGCCGACATTCAGCTGGGCGGGCATGCCCTACCTGTATGCCGAAGCCTCACCCGTATATCGGGCCGAGTCCGACATCCAGCATGCCTCCTTCGGCGCAGTCACGGTGCTGGTAAACTGTGTTTATTGGATAAAATTACTCCCGCTACCGATTCGATTACGCAGGAGTATTCCAACGTCCTGATAACCCAGTACCGAAGCAAACTGCCCGTAAATATACCGGAGGTAAGCACCTCGAAATAATTGGCCACTAAAGCAGCTCGTAAGAGCGCGCCAGCTACCGGTGGTGTTAAAAAACCACATTCTTACAGGCCTGGTAGAGTCGTTACCAAAAGAATTCCGAATGATTGATTAGAAAATTACCTTTCCAACGGTTAGTGCTTGAAATAGCCCAAAATTTTAAAACCAAGCTGAGATTCCAGAACTCAGGAGTTATGACGCTCCAAGAAGCCATCGTAGCCTACTCGGTAGGATTATTCGAAGACACATTCTTCAGTTCGAGAAGGTCGCGCGTCTATAAGGCTTTAAAACAGGCCTGCACAACATATGGCCCGCCATTTTCAAACTATACATTTTTCAGTGACAAAATTGCATTTAGATATTAATTGCCTTTTTAGAAGTTCGATAAATGGACCTGGTTCATTATAAGCTGACGACCTTTTTTTTGGAGCTCAATAGAAGACCTCGACATGCTTTATAAATTGAGCCCCCGCCAAAAAAAAATTACATCCGTTCTTGGCCCTCGTACACCTCCGGTTTTTTTGAACTGGCCCTTTGAAATTCTCAGTTGTGCAGACCTACTCTAAAATGTAGGTTATGTTTTTCAATGCCGATATTTCAATAAACGCATTAGTTTTAAACGGAGTTTTATTTCGGTACCTATTAGATAGGGATACACATTACACTTTTGTCAACAGATACTACATAAAAAGTATGTTTTATGTTCTACAGGGTAGCTGTTAAAGATGGAACCAAACCTATAGTGCTTAAACGGTTCAACATACAAAATCCAAAATTTTAGAATTTCAACTAAATATATTTGCGCATATTTTAGCCCAAAAATTATTTTTCTTATAATTACAAAATTTTAAGCATGGCCGCCATCTTGATTTTTTTTAAATTGCAACATAGGTCATGTGATATACCATTTGAAAGGGTTTAACACCCTGATTACAAAAATGTATCACACATGGTTAAAAACAACAGAAAAGATATTATTTTAAAAAATCAAGATGGCGGCCATGCTTAAAATTTTGTAATTATAAAAAAAAATAATTTTTGTGCTAAAATATGAGCAAATGTATTTAGTTGAAATTCTGAAATTTTAGGTTTTGTATGTTAAACCGTTTAAGCACTATAGGTTTGATTCCATCTTTAACAGCTACCCTGTATATCTTCCTGTTTCTGTTTTAAGGATGTTCGTTATTGAGAAGAGAATCAGTGGATAATAAAAAAATATTCCCCAAGATTTGGATACACGAAGTAATGAGAATCTTCTACGATAGGTTAATCGAAGACAAAGACAGAAAATGGGTGTATGACAAGTTGAGGACGGCCGTTAAAACGAATTTTAGAGAAGAATTTGACGCTACTTTAGACTCCCTTCCACATGATGAAGAAACAGGTAAGTACGTAATACCACCGTCTTTTAGACATTTGAAGAATTACATATTAGAATGTAGGATGACAAACCGGAGACAGAAAGTCTTAGATATTTGAACTCTTTTGTAAATAGTTTCCTCAGCCAAGATAGGTTGTCGAAGCTTGTCTAGTTTTCTTCTTGTAGCAGAGGGAACGCAACAGTTTTCCGGGAGTTAAAAAATATCTGATTCCTCTTGTACCATCTGTTGATATTATTTACGGTTGTTGGAGACTAACTTTTCATGATAACTACAGCGTTTGTAGATCATCAGAAGTCTACTCTCTGCCGAGAGAAAGCGTCTAGCTGCTAGAATCTAGCAGATTATCCACCAGAATGTTTCACAGTAGGACTTTCGATACTTTATTTTGTGAACACTCTCTGGCAGACCTAAAAGTAGCTCTCCCTTCAGCGAAGTTCCGATTACCAAGCGTACTTTTGACCCAGTTGCAAGTCAGCTTCTTAATTCAATAGAAGAGAATAAAGACTGAGGAATAGGGTTGTTGATCGCACCTTCTGTACTTAAAAAAGCATTAGAATAGTTTTGCTCCATCTCTTCGATGGACTTTTAATATGAGTACCTTCTGCTATCAGTTAGATCTGATTCAGCGTTAAACTCAAACTTGAAAAATACTGATTCCTATAAAGTAATCTTGAATATTTAGGATATGAGATAGATATAGAAGACATTCGATTTGAAATGTGTAAAATTCAGACTGTGCAACGTTTTCCCGTTCCTAAGAATACCGTAGCGTTAAGTGTTAGACAATTCCTTTAGTAAATTTGTCAGAAAGTTTGCAGTGTTGACGAAATCATTAACTAATCTTACCAAAAAGGAAGTATCATAGCGTCACTCAAAAAATATCTGGCAAACAGGCATTGCATAATAATCAGGCGGACACCAAAACTTAGTAGATAGTAGTAGATAGACAAAGAATACAGGGGACCACATAGGGAATTCAATATGTAAGAGTGAGAGGTACAGATTCAATGGGTAAGAGTGAGACATAGTGAGGGGGAAGCGGGGGAGTGGAGGGGATTAAATCTCTTTTAACGTCGAACAGAAAAATCGTGCGATTGCCAGAAGGGCCTAAGCGTGTATCTTTGTTATTGTTGGTCAGATTCAAACGGGAAAAACGGCATTATATAGATAACTCGGTATACATTAACGTTAAACAGAAAAATCATGCGCAGAACGAAAAGCCAGAAGGGCCTTAGCGTGTTTCTTGGGTATTACTGGTCCAATTCAAACAGGAATAACGGCATTATGTAGATAACTCGGTATAGATTAACGTTAAAGAGAAAAATCGACATTTCGTTTGACGTTTTTCTTTGACGTTTTCGTTTGACGTTTTTGTTTGACAATTTCGTTTGACGTTTTTGTTTGACAATTTCGTTTGACGTTTTTGTTTGACAATTTCGTTTGACATTTTCGTTTGACGTTTTCTTTGACGTTTTCGTTTGACGCTAAGGCCCTTCCGGCTTTTCGTTCTGCGCATGATTTTTCTCTTCAAAGTTTATCTATACCACGTTCTCTACATAATGCCGTTTTTCTCGTTTGAATCGGACCAACAATAACAAAGATATAAGTTTTAGGCCCTTTTGGTCCGTCACTGCGCATGATTTTTCTGTTCGACGTTAATCTATACCATTTTCACCGTTTGAATCGGACCAACAATAACAAAAATACACGCTTAGGCCCTTCTGGCAATCGCATGATTTTTCCGTTCAGCGTTAAAAGAGATTTAATACTCCCCCACTCTCCCGCTTCCCCTCTCTATGTCTCACTCTTACCCATTGAATCTGTCCCTCTCACTCTTACACATTGATTTCCCTATGTGTTCCCATGTCTGCTTTGTCTATCTACTCTTGATGCGATTGAATATTTCAATGGGGCGGCTATAACACAGGAACAGGTATATTTATAAATTCAAAGCTTTGGCGGTGGTCGAATCCATTCACTGTTTTCACCTATTGATAATACTATTCCTATATAATTGATTGCAGGTTACGTACCCATAACTTCGATGAAAAACCTCATTTTTGGCACGTTTTTCGACCAAGACACCGAAGGCGATGAAAAGAAATACGAAGAAGTTCTCTCAGTCGAATTGTTGAGGGATCTGGCGGAACGTGCATTGATCGAATACAATGCAACTCACAAAGCTACTATGGACATTGTTCTATTCGATTACGCTATCGAACATCTTGGAAAAATCTGCAGGGTACTATCTATGAAATGCGGTTGTGCTTTACTGGTAAGGGCTTATCTGTATTTATAGCTAAATTTGATGGTTATGGCTATATTAGTATGATAGAAGGCTCAATTTAGCAACTCAATATTTAAGGGCATTTTTTAAAATTATATAAGTAGAAATCACACTTTTTGGAACTTCCTAGTTAATGCATTTTTTATTTGTCATCTTCATCATCATCATCATCATCATCTTCTTTTCTTTGGGATCTACTTGTTCTTTTCTGGTGTCAGAAAATACTTCTCTCTTGTACCCATGCTTTCTAGGCCTTTTGCCTCTGAATAGTATATTTTGGTCGATTTGTTCTCTCTATTTGTTATTACTGCTCTTACTGTCTTGCAAGTGCTTCTTACTGCCTTAATTAATGTTTTAAATACTTTCATTTCCTTCAAGCTTCTCCACATTTCTCTCTTTTGAGTCTATAAAAGTCAGAAATATTTCGTCTTCATCTTCTATTTTTCGTTCTATTAATTTATTTAAAATGTATAGGTTGTCGTTTGTTTCCCTTTCTGTTCTAAACGCAGCATCTTATTTACTTATTCAAGGTTGGCATTAGTGGATCGGGAAGGCAATCTCTAACTCGTCTCGCAGGAGAAATGTATACGAACATGGTGTATCAACCAGAAATAACAAAAAGTTACTCCCTTAACGATTGGCGGGACGACATCAAGAAAATTCTTCGAGAAGCTGGTGGTATGGGAAGAGATGCAGTTTTCTTGTTATCCGAAGGTTCGATAAAAGAAGAGCATTACTTGCAAGATATCGATTGTCTTCTGAATTCTGGTGAGGTGCCCAATATGTACGCTATGGATGAGAAACAAGAACTGATGGATATGGTACGATTGGCAGCACAAGGTAAATTATATTTTGATATTGTCATTGTCATTATCTTGTGTTTATATTTAACGTCTATACTTATGATCGACTGATCCATATTTTAGACTTGACGATAACCAAAAATACCTATAATAATCTTTCTTTTTATTATTTTAAAATTACTAGACTTTAGGTCTGTTCGAGAGCTTCAAAAATACATTGAGAACTATCAGAGGACTAGTTGACCAATGGATAATTTAATAGTTGTATGCGACGCATAATTTGGAATTGAACTGTTCCACTGGTTCTCGGACAGTTTGCATCGAATTTTAAAGAAACCCGAACAAACCTTTTAATAAATTAAAAAGTGTACATGATTCATCTAACAAACCATTAATTCAGGCGGGAATAGAAACTTGGAAATCGACGCTTTAGAGGTATTTTTCTTCTTTACGAATCGCTGCAAAGAAAGATTGCACATCGTAATTTGCTTCAGTCCCGTTGGCGCCACGTTTCGCAACAGGCTAAGGCTGTACCCGGCCTTAATAAATTGCTGTACGATCGACTGGTTCGAAGATTGGCCAGAAGAAGCCTTGGAACAAGTAGCGCAAAATTGGATGAAGGATATTAACCTCACAGGTTTGCAAGTTTTATTTCGTTATAGTTATAGTAAAGGATAACATGGTACTGCTAGTATTAAGACTGTAGTAGCAGCAGCCTCCAGTATTTGTAACAATAACTAATTTTGATAGATGTCATTCGACAAACGTGGTGTAATGGATAATTGTTTGACTATTGAATCAAGGGATCGTGCGTTCAAGTTTTTCAAACTTTATACAGAAACAGGACATTTAAGTAGTAGGAGATTTAATTCTTTAAACCTTATACTTTAAGCTGGTACAAGATTTATTTTATTACATTTAGTAGAATTTAAACATAATTGGAAATGGTGAACTGGGGCCTTAATAAATGATTTTTTTTAAATTTCTTACCAAAGTATGAACGTAATTTCTATTTCTAAACTGTTATTCCACCGGATAATCATAATAAAAAGAATGGTTAAAGCTACTGCTACGATACATACTTTGTACCTAATGGCATATACTATAAAAAAAGCAAATTTACCAGCAACCATAAAATTTCTATACAGATACTAGAATACTAATTCATTTCTTACTATTTCTATTTGGACATTATACAAATACGTCAGACCATTCGCATATTTGACATATTTAATTTCTAGAGGAAATCAGAAGTGTCGCTACTATTGCCTGCAAATATTTCCACGTGGAAGCGAGAAAAGCATCGGCAGCATTTTATGCTGAATACAGCAGAATGACTTACGTAACGTCAGCTTCCTACCTGGAGTTAATTAAGTCTTTTACTGACTTAACTAACCTGAAACAAAACGAACTTATGACTGCTAAAGGCAGATATGTAGGCGGATTGGAAAAGTTGTATTATGCTGCTGTCAGCATAGGTAAGTTAAAATACTGATCGTCACTATTAGATGGTAGTAGAAAGTGGCACAGTCAAAGTGACGTATACGTATGTATAGTAAAATTATAAATAAACAATAATACATTCAAAACTATAACAAAACTATAAGTCTATCTGACTATTTCCTACGTACAAAAGAAATAGCACTTTTAAATTAGAAGCAAATTTAATTAAAATTTAATCAAAATTCAATCAAAATTTAATCAAAATTCAATCCTATTTCTTTCAAAATTAATTCAAAATTAATTCAGAATTAATTCAAACTTATTTCAAAATTCACTTAAAACTTAATCAAAATTCAATTAAATTCAATTAAAATTCAATCAAAATTCAATTAAAATTCAGTTAAAAAATTCAAGTAAAATTCAATTAAAATCCAGTTAAAATTCAATTTATCTACAATTAAAATATAATTAAAAGTCAATTAAAAATTCAATTAATTAAAATTCAATAAAAATTTAATTAAAATTCGATTAAAATTAAGTAAAAATTCAATTAAAATTCAACAAAATTCCAATTGAAATTCAATCAAAATTCAACTAAAATGTAATCAAAATTTAATTAAAATTCAATCTTTTTGAAATTAAAATTCAATTAAAATTCATCAAACTTAAATCAAAACTATTATAATTCAATCAACATTCAATTAAAAAGCTATTAAAATTCTATTAAAATTCTATTAAAATTCTATTAAAATTCTATTAAAATTCTATTAAAATTCTATTAAAATTCTATTAACATTCTATTAAAATTCTATTAAAATTCTATTAAAATTCTATTAAAATTCTATTAAAATTCTATTAAAATTCTATTAAAATTCTATTATATTCTATTAACATTCTATTAAAATTCTATTAAAATTCTATTAAAATTCCATTAAAATTATATTGTAAATTTCAGGTGAAATGCAAGAATCGTTGAACGCTCTCAAGCCTATATTGTTCGAGTTAAGTAAACAGGCTGAACAAATGTTGATAAAAATCGAAGAAGAAACGTTAGCCGTTGAAAGGGCTTCGGCGTTAGTAAAGCAAGACGAAAAAGTGGTAAACAAACAAGCAGCTGCTGCTCAAGCTCTTAAAACCGAATGCGAAGCTGATTTAGCCGAAGCTTTGCCTATTTTAGAAGAGGTCAGTACATTTTATTGCTAATTCATTTATTTTAATATGTATTTCAATGTCTATGTCTATTTTAATGTCCATTTTAATGTCTATTTTAATCGGGACGGTGGTGTAGCGGTCTATCGCGCTTATATTCATTTATAGGCAAGTTTATGAGTCTGAGACTGCTGGGTTTCGAATCCCAGACCAGACCATGTAGATTTTTAATTAAATTGCATGGTTCGGTTTAGGATTTGATGTGTGGCGTATTAATAGAAATTCAATTTCTATTGATATGACATGCAGATTAAAAAAATTCGCCATACATTACCGTCTCGATGATGGTGGGTGAGGTTTTCTGGGTTTTCCTCACCTGTAAGTCAAATGGCACCATCAATCATCTTTAAGTCGCCCCGGAGCGCCACGGCAAATAATAATAATAATAGCCGTCCCTTCCCCTACACAAGTCGTTCAGTCGACTTCAGGGGTTGAAATTCACTCGTAAGGGTGTAAATTAGGGAGAGTATTATTATTATATCTATTTTAATGTCTTTTCAAATGTCTATTTTAATGTCTAATGTCTATTTTAACGTCTATTTTAATGTCTATTTTAATGTCTATTTTAATGTATAATGTATATTTTAATATCTATTTTAATGTATATTTTAATGTCTAATGTCTATTTTAATGTCTAATGTATATTTTAATGTCTAGTCTATTCTAATGTCTAGTCTATTTTAATGTCTATTTTCATGTCCATTTTAGTGCCTATTTTAATGTCTATTACATGAATTACATGCATATTAGTCACTGTGATGACCATTATTACTTTCAGGCATCTGCTGCTTTAGACATATTGAAACCATCAGATATAGTATTAGTGAAATCCATGAAAAATCCACCAGACGTGATCAAATTAGTTATGGCGGCCGTGTGCATCATGAAAGGTGTCAAACCTGACAGGTTACTTGATCCGACTACCGGCAAGATGATAAATGATTTCTGGGGACCAAGTAAAAAGTTAGTATTCGATGTATATAAATTTATTTGCTACCAATGATAATCATATTTTCAGAATGTTGGGAGAATACAGTTTTCTGCAATCTTTGAAGGATTACGACAAAGATAACATAAGACCCGAGGCTATTGCTAAAATTAGGAAGGAATATATCACGCACAAGGATTTCAAACCTCATATCGTTGCCAAAGCCTCCAGTGCTGCTGAGGGTTTGTAAAACACTAAAACTTTGGTACCTTTCGTTTTTTCATTATCTTTTTAAGTCCAAGTAAGTGGAAAGGAATTTCATTTATATTTAACTGAGAGCTTTTCCACGTCGTTATAACACTCAGTTATCACCGTTACAAAAAGATTATGTCGTTATCACACAGATTATTTTCAATTTAAAAATCAGTTACTGTATATAGCTCTATCTCCACATTCTGCTTACTTCTGTGGTTTGAGTGGACGAAATAGCGTTTACCATTGGGGTGGTAGAAGCCTATCAAATGTCAACTTTCGGTCAAAAAATTTTTTCTAACTGCGACTAAATAAATTGGGGTTTCTAGAGACATAACTTTGCTATCTTATCAAACAATAAGTTTGCAATCCAAGTTTTTTTTCATATGTATGAAACTATAAAGTTATCATAAGAAAATTGCTTAAAACTTCTATAGGACAGATTAGAATGGTATATTCAACCTCGGCCCTTAGTAGATGAGATTTTATTCAGTGGTAATGAACGAGGTTATTTGTGTCATTAGAAATTACCCCTAAGTACCCCCTCCCTTCGCGCAATTAGCAATTCCGCTTATTATAATGTATATAGAGTAATTGGCAGGTATCTATTCTTCGAAGAGTGGGGATAACCTCTCTGACCTTGGTCCAGAACAGGCTAATCTCATCTACTCTCTTTTTAATGTTCCTTTTATATTCAAACACATAGGTCTATGCAAATGGATCATCGCAATGGACATGTACGAACGCGTATTCAAGATCGTCGGTCCCAAAAAAGCCGCTTTGGTAGCTGCAGAAGAAGAATTCACCACCATGATGTCGATGTTGGTAGAAAAAAGAGAACAAGTCGCGAAATTGGAAGAACGTTTAGCCGATTTGATGCAGCAATTGGAGAACGCCATTTTGAAGAAAGAACAACTAGAAGCAGAGGTCGAATTGTGTAATAATAAATTAATACGAGCCAAAAAATTGATTGGTAAATATTGGTTTAATTTAATTGATAGTAATTTCTATTATAATGTTTTATAAGGGTTTTGAAGCTTTAAGCTTCAATTATTCCTATTGTTGGTGCCAATTTGTTTCATTGTACATATCCTTGTAGCATCTGTTTTTATTTCTAGGTGGTCTTGGTGGTGAAAAAACAAGATGGGGAGCAGCAGCTGACGCCCTTCAATTACAATATGATGGTCTAGCTGGGGATATTTTACTAGCTTGTGGAATCATATCCTATTTGGCTCCATTCAACAGCACTTTTCGAGTAAGATTGGTCGAAGACTGGCACAATTATTTAAAGAATCTGAACATACCAACAGCTGAGGTATTTGATATGATCGTGTGTTTGGGATCGGAAGTTACTATCCAATATTGGAACGTAAACGGACTTCCTCTGGATGCTTTTTCAGTTGAAAATGGTATACTTTATAGCGTCTTCTTCTTTTTTCATAATTTTTTTATTTCGAAACTACCATTAAAGGAATTATCATGGACAACTCGAGAAGATGGTCGCTCTTCGTCGATCCTCAAGTTCAAGCAGCCAATTGGATAAGGAAGATGGAGAAAAAGAACAATCTTGAGGTTCTAAAATTTTCTTTTCCGGATTATATGAAACGATTAGAATACTGCATCCCGCTAGGCTATCCGGTTTTGATAGAGAATATCGAAGAGATTTTAGAAGCTCCATTAGATCCTTTGTTGTACAAACAAACGTTCAAGCAAGGCGGAGGATTACTTATACAGCTTGGGGAGAACGTTATAGAATACCATAAGAATTTCAAGCTTTATTTAACTTCTAAAATGAGGAATCCGCATTATTTGCCGGAAATTTTCAACAAGGTTACAATTATAAATTTTGCTCTAACTCTAACAGGATTACAAGATCAACTGCTAGGTAAGTACTGTGTTAGATACTCTAATTTAGAGCTTGGAAGACTGTTGACCCAGACCTACCATTAGCTCCATTGCTACGGTACTTTTGCAGTACTTCTATCTTTGTTATTATAGACAGACCAGTCTCTGTACCTTATTATCATCATCATCTGAATTAGGGCGTGGTTCAAAGCCCACTTGTACTGAAGCTCTAGGCTTATTGTACCCCTCACAGTTTCTATCCCATCAGATTGATTTTCTTGATGAATTCAAGAATATGTCTGATGGGCGCTTTCGCGATTTCTTCATGTTCCGGATATTGTACCTGTACCTTAATAAATTTTCTGCTGTTATGCTTTTACTCTTGTATCACCATATTAAGTTACAACAGGTAGTGTATTTCATTCTTAGTATAGAGCCAGTGCATCATGCTTAGTTTAGGCCCCATGTGTACCCAGACCTACCAGTACCTTTGCAGTACTTCTGTCTTTATTATTATAAACAGGCCAGTCACTGTACCTTATAAAATGTTCTGCTATTATACTTTTAGCCCTATGCCACCATTTAAGCAAGTTTCAACGTGTACTGTACCAGAACCTTAGTTTAAAGCATCATACTTGGTTTAGGCCCCATATGTTTCCTACCATCGCCTTTTTACAGCTTTTCCTGCCATTTTTCTATATGACTGCAGATGCTCCAAGATATTTACCTTTATTTGCCATTTTTAGATCTTATTCCACATATAAACTTCCTTCATACCTTGCAGGTATCGTGGTGGCAGTCGAAAAACCCGATTTACAACAACTAAAAGAGGAATTGACAGTACAAAAAGCTGACAATAAGAAAGCTCTGAAAGAAACTGAAGATATGATTTTAAAAACCTTAGCAGACTCCAAAGGCGATATCTTAGAAGATGAAAAAGCTATTAGAATACTAGACGATTCAAAGATTTTGGTACTCGAAATCATGGAGAAACAACAAATGGCATTGAAGATCGAAAAATCCATCGAGGAATTCAGAGAAAAATATAAAGGAGTGTCTTCTCATTCGGCTGTTTTGTATTATTGCATCGCTGATTTGGCTAACGTGGATCCGATGTATCAATATTCCTTAGAATGGTTCATAAATTTATACATCGGATCGATTCAGAGGGCAGAAAAATTTAAGATCATTGAAAAACGTTGTCAGTGTCTTATCAACGCATTCACCTACGATTTGTACAATAACATTGCGAGATCTCTTTTCGAAAAAGACAAATTGCTGTTCTCATTTCTGCTGTGCACCAAAATCTTGATTGCGCAAAATAAATTGGATGAGAAAGAATTTCTATTTTTACTTACAGGTGAGTTTTAAATTATAAAAATAATAAACACTTTCTGAACAATTTTTCATCCATAAAATAACTTTGTGCCGATCAAAACCGGAAAGTAAACGTTAAGGACCGGTAAAAGCTTTTACCGGTTCCTGTTGTTCATTTTTCCGATCGCTGTTTGATAATACTGTCTGCTTTGATTTTGTTACTATGGTAACAACGTTCCGGTTTATTGTCAAGTGACAGTTTTCGCAAATTTAAAAATGTGGATTCAGATTTAAAAGTATCCGACATAGAAAATTAAGTTTACATCGAAGTGTTGGTTTAAAAAAAAATATTGTACGCCACGCGATCGAAAATTAGTGTTAAACAAGTCTCCCCAAGCTTTCAGTTCTCGCTTACGGCTCGGCTTGGAATCTACTTGTCTCGACCTGCAAAACTACTTTTCGTTATAGTTAAAGATGTGAAATTATCGTATAAACACTAATTTTATTTCCAGGCGTCGGGCCCGAAATCCACGCTCCAAATCCTTGTCCTGACTGGCTACCCGACAAATCTTGGGACGAAATGGGTAAAGTGGAATGCCTGAAAGCATTCGATGGTTTCCATAAAAAATTTTTACTCAACGTCAAAGATTGGAAGCGAATCTACGACGATTTTAACGAACAATTTGACATACCGTCCGTTTGGCGTAACTCCATTACGAGTTTCCGAAGACTGATTTTAGTTAGATTGTTGCGACCGGACAAACTGATCAATTGCATAACCATATTCGTCAAAAATGAAATGGACGAGCGGTTTATTAAACCGCCACCTTTTAATATATCCGTGTCGTTCGACGACTCGTATTGCTTGAGTCCATTGATTTTCATATTGTCACCCGGGATTGATCCGATGTCATCTTTATTGAAATTTGCCGAGGATAAGAAGATGGTTGAGAGGTTTAAATCGACTTCACTCGGACAAGGTAAAGTACTGAAAAAGTTTTAATAAACGTATTTGTTCTACATTTTGTTCTAGAACGTTATCCACATACTGAATATTATTTTCTGTCCATTTTGCACCGGTAGTTTTTTTAGGTAACTGATCCTACAAACGGGAACTTTAGTGTGTGCACTTTCGTGCGTCTCCCGTATATTGCTTGTGTTCTTTACTGCATTCCTGAGTGTTATTTTATTGATATAAACCCATTTACTTTTAAGAAACTTAGTAAACATTCGGTTTTTCACACGTTCCCAAAACAAGTGCCGGTAAAAAACTTTTTACCGTACCGCAGCTTTCTTCTACCGGTAAATTGTAGCTTGTTGATCACCTAATAGGCATTCATATGCTTGTCGTTTCTAAATAGTCCTCACTCAATAGTCTCCCGCATTTTAAAGGCTCCCGGCGTTAGAGGCTTAATACTAAATCTACCATTTTATATTCAAGGTCAGGGTCCAATAGCTTTAGCCATGATAGAAGAAGGCCAGGAATACGGCATGTGGATATGTTTACAAAACTGTCACTTATCGACGTCATGGATGCCGACGCTGGAAAAAATATTCGACAATTTGGATTTCGGTAACACGCATCCGGAATTTAGGTTATGGCTGACCAGTTACCCGTCGAACAAATTCCCGGCGATTTTGCTGCAAAGAGGCGTCAAGATGACTAACGAGCCTCCAACGGGATTGCAAAACAATTTGCTTAAATCGTACATCAGCGATCCCGTGAAAAATCCCGATTTCTATAAAGGTTGTCCCGAGCACGAGGAGATGTTCGTGAGGTTGTTGTACGGGCTGTCATTTTTCCATGCTAATATACAGGAGAGGAGGACTTTTGGACCGCTGGGCTGGAATATACCATACGGTAATTTATATGTTTTGTTCATTTGAAATATTTGTATAAGAAAAAAGATACAATGTATTCGGATACTTTTTTTAAAAAGTACCGATACATTCACCTAAAAATATATTCGTATATAAGTATACGGATCTTTTTTCGAATACTTTAAAGTATACTTTTTAGAATACTTTTAAAGTGTGTTAAATTAATCAGTGACCAGTATACGTACAATTTGGATACTTTTTAAAAATGTACCAAAACATTCACCTAAAGATATATATTCAGATATAAGTACCCGGATCATTTTTTCGAATACTTTAAAGTATACTTTTTAGAATACTTTTAAAGTGAGTTAAAATAATCAGTGACCAGTATACGTACAATGTATTCAGATACTTTTTAAAAAGTGCCAATACATTCACCTAAAAATATATTTGTATAATAAGTACTCGGATCATTTTTTCGAATACTTTAAAGTATACTTTTTGGAATACTTTTTGGAATACTTTTAAAGTGAGTTAAAATAATCAGTGACCAGTATACGTACAATGTATTCGGATACTTTTAAAAAAAGTACCGATACATTTACTTAAAAATATATTCAAATATAAGTATACGGATCCTTTTTTTCGAATACTTTTTAGAATACTTTTAAAGTGAGTTAAAATAATCTGAACCAGTATACGTACAATGTATTCGGATACTTTTTAAAAAAGTGCCGATACATTCACCTAAAAATATATTTGTATAATAAGTATCTAGATCCTTTTTTCGAATACTTTAAAGTATACTTTTTAGAATACTTTTAAAGTGTGTTAAATTAATCAGTGACCAGTATACGTACAATTTGGATACTTTTTAAAAATGTACCAAAACATTCACCTAAACATATATATTCAGATATAAGTACCCGGATCATTTTTTCGAATACTTTAAAGTATACTTTTTGAAATACTTTTAAAGTGAGTTAAAATAATCAGTGACCAGTATACGTACAATGTATTCGGATACTTTTAAAAAAAGTACCGATACATTTACTTAAAAATATATTCAAATATAAGTATACGGATCCTTTTTTTCGAATACTTTTTAGAATACTTTTAAAGTGAGTTAAAATAATCAGTGACCAGTATACGTACAATGTATTCAGATACTTTTTAAAAAGTGCCGATACATTCACCTAAAAATATATTTGTATAATAAGTACCCGGATCATTTTTTCGAATACTTTAAAGTATACTTTTTGGAATACTTTTAAAGTGAGTTAAAATAATCAGTGACCAGCGTACGTACAATGTATTTGGATACTTTTTAAAAAAGTACCGATACATTTACTTAAAAATATATTCAAATATAAGTATACGGATCCTTTTTTCAAATACTTTTTTAGAATACTTTTAAACTGAGTTGAAATAATCTGAACCAGTATACGTACAATGTATTCGGATACTTTTTAAAAAGTACCGATACATTCACCTAAAAATATATTTGTATAATAAGTATCTGGATTCTTTTTTCGAATACTTTAAAGTATACTTTTTGTAATACTTTTAAAGTGAGTTAAAATAATCAGTAACCAGTATACGTACAATGTATTCGGATACTTTTTATAAAAGTACCGATACATTCACCTAGAAATATATTTGGATATAAGTACCCGGATCCTTTTTTAGAATACTTTAAAGTATACTTTTTAGAATACTTTTAAAATCAGTTAAAATAATCAGTGACCAGTATACGTACAATGTATTCGGAACCCGAATCCTTTTTTTTTTAATACTTTAAAGTATACTTTTTAGAATACTTTTAAAGTGAGTTAAAATAATCAGTGACCAGTATATGTACAATTTGGATATTTTTTAAAAAAGTACCGATACAATCACTTAAAAAAATATATTCGGATATAAGTACCCGGATCCTTTTTTTCGAATACTTTAAAGTATACTGTTTAGAATACTTTGAAAGTGAGTTAAAATAATCTGTGACCAGTATACGTACAATGTATTCGGATACTTTTTAAAAAAGTACCGATACATTCACCTAAAAATATATTCGGATATAAGTATACGGATCCTTTTTTAGGTTAGTTGAAATAATCAGTGACAAATGTGGTAAGGATTTGAGATACGTTTGTTTAAAATACCGGACTCATTTGTCGAATAATAATTTAAAAGTATCCGGACACCTAAAAAAGTATCTGTTATCCGGAAACTTACAAATTTGGTCACGGATGCGGATGTCGGATACAAAATTTGAAAAACAGAAGTACCCGGATAATACCCAACTCTGGTATTGTAACGGTTTTAGATTTAAGGTTTAACTGATGTCAATTATAGTTAGAGATCATATGCAAATGGCTCTAAATATCGTAATAAATTGGATAGAAAAAAAGTTGTTAGTACTTTTGACGGGACCGGTATATCTTTATATATTTCGACCCGCTGAATCCGAATCTGAGGTCCGTGGCAGTTAAAATTAGCTAAAACGTACAGAATAGGCCTCTAGAATCGCTAAACCTCTGATGTGTAAACATTCAAGGGAATATTTTCAAAATACACCCTATAATCTACTTTCAACATGATCCAAACCTAATGATGACCCAAGAAGATCCAAATTAGTAGCATTACGATTAACTTTTATGTTTTGTCGCAGGTTTATTTATTTTTTAAATTTGTTTAATATTTGCTCAGGTTTCAATGACTCCGACTTCGACATATCGGTACAACAAGTCCAAATGTTCATAAACGAAAGCGAAGATCCCTACGAAGCTTTGACGTATTTGATAGGAGAATGCAACTACGGCGGTAGAGTGACAGACGATTGGGACAGAAGACTGATAGTAACAATTTTGGCGGATTATATCAATCCTCGAGTGGTGTTGGATAAGAATTTTGCCTTCAGCAGTGCCGGTACTTGCTACGGTTTACCAGAAAGGAACGATTACAAGGCTTATATAGAACATATATCGTCTTTACCTGCTGTACATCCGCCAGAAGTATTCGGATTGCATACGAATGCTGGTAAGTATGTATATTAAAAGAAATATACTTATAAAATCTTTATTTACATATTTATAATACATTAAGAATGATATTCAATCTTCATCGCAGAAGTTTTCTTCAGAGCAACCCACTGTCCTTAAGATAACTCCATGACCGGTGTAACAGCCGTTGATCAATCCGTTGGCAATTTAACTATTTTGAAAGTCGCCTCCTTATCAATATTAACATTTTTGGCTAGCTTGCTAGAGCAGTATTGGAAAGTTGTTTATCGTTTTGTCTGAATTCTACTATGTCGGTCGAAAAAAAAAAAACGAATACACTGTAACGTTTCATTTTGTCGCTAGGCAACAAGTTATACATATAGGTGTACCTTTGGGTTGCAGTTCTCACGAAACTATTTCCGTATTAGTTTCACGAACGCGGTTATAGCTTGGTTATTTGTATAATATACCAAAAACTGATTTTAATCGTTAATGGGACTATTTCAAAATTACAACACCCGAAAAAATTTTATATATCGATTTAATTCAGAGTTTCCTTAGGTATTACCAGAGATCTACAAAATTCCAACCTCCTATTGAACTCATTACTAAAAGCGTATGGAGATGTTTCTTCCTCTGGCGTTGGAGAAACAGATAAAATGTTAATGGGTATGTGTACGGAGATCCTGGGACGATTACCGCCACTGTTCGATATGGAAGCCGCCATTAAAAAGTTTCCCGTGGAATATGCTGAATCCATGAACACTGTGCTAGTACAGGAAATGGAACGATTTAACAAACTATTGAAAGTTATTACCATGACTTTGGTTAATATGCAGAAAGCTATTCAAGGTTGGTGTTCTATTTTATTAGAGTTTGATTTTGTAATACAATAATTATTACACAGCCCCACAAAAAAAAGTGTTCAGATTTGCCGGTCGGAAATATGTATTCCCATGTATTTTTCGACGCTGAATCCGATGCTTATCTCAAAAATGGCCCTCCATGTCTGGAATTGGCCCCCAGGGGCCAAAAATGGCCTGTATATGGCCTGAAAGGTGGAAGAGTCAGGACTGACCCAAATCAAGTTCCTAAGGGTGTTCGAGGTCGCTGATCACGATTATGATGTTCAAATTAAACCACAGCCGACCTGGAGCTCAGGGACGCCGATGAACGTTATCTATTCGACGCTCGGGGGTTTTTTGAGTTGCTGAATTCAAATATAACATCGGCGAATACCTCTGGTGCACGTGGACGTCATCTCCGAAAAATATCTTGCCAAAATTGCCGAAAACATGCCAAAAAATCCTTATAGGGGTATTTTTTGGGGCCCTTGATCCAAATTTCACGTCGAAAACGATCTCCGAACACCTAGTGCACCAAAACATCGTCTCCGAGGGTTGTCCAGACACAATCGCTAAAGACGAACCGAAAATCGTCATGGGGGTTTCTAGGCACGCGGAATCCAAATTCCATCACGAAAACGTACCTCCGGAGACCTGGTGTATCGGAACTCCGGCCTGAACGTCATCTAAGAGGGTTTTCCTCACACAATCGATACTACTGTGTCCTCCAATCCCTGTATACCCCACTGTATGCATATTGTGACGAAAGTCTAATTTATTTAAGGTTTATTTATTTAAAAACACACTATTTACAATTTATTTCAGACGTACTATTTAATTTATGTAATATTTAGACACTAATTCTAATTTATTTCTTACACTTTTACTTTTCAATACAACGTTCTATATTAAACTAAACTCCGCGCTGATACGTCGTCTATTTATATTAATCCAACTCCGCTACTGGAAGATACGGGATACTCTCGAACATTCCTTTTTATGACTAAGCGGCATTCTCCGCTATTCCAGTCGCTTCCAGTGCATTAGCGGCAGACATTCCGTCGTATTCGAGATGTGGGCCGGCTGTTTCCATACGTCAGCGTTGCTTCGATCACGAATCGGTTGCGTGCTTAGACAGAGTCGGACTTCATGACAATATACTTCCGTATGAGGAAGTAAAGTCGGGGACTCTGTACTGTAACGTTTAAACTACTCTTTATACTTGACAATCGAGTGTAGGAGGAATACATGGGTAAAGTATTTTCCGGCCCGCATGGGGAATTCCAGTTGTCTGTGAACTTTTCGACCACAAACCCAACTTTGGTTATATAATGCACCTTCAACCACGCCTCATCTCGGAATCCACCTTTCAGGCCATATAGAGGCAATTTTTGGCCCCTGGGGCCAATTCCAGACGTGGAGAGCCATTTTTGAGCTCGGGATCGGATTCCGCGTCAAAAAATACATATGTCAGACCGCAAAGTCTGAACACTTTTTTCTTGGGACTGTGTTATCTATACTTCAATTTAAAAAAATGAAAATAACCATAAACAATTTTAGGTTTGGTTGCAATGAATCCCACATTCGAAGCGTTTGCTTCTTCCCTCCTTCTAAGCAGAATTCCAGCTCTTTGGTTACCGGTTTCCTATCCTAGTTTGAAAAATCTTCCAAGCTACATCAACGATTTTATTGGTCGGCTTGATTTTCTACAAAGATGGTTCAAAATAGGTAAATATTAAAATAGTTTTCCTTGCATTAGGTTTTTTGCGACGCATATTAGTATTTGAAAACTTTACTTGTTGGCTTACTACTGTGTTTGATAAACTATGCATAAAAACCCATTACAATACCCGGAATTTCTTCATTGCAGTTACATTTTGACCCCTGGAGCATTCTATATCTCCAGCTGGTGCTACCAAAGTATTTTAATGCTGTATCGAAACTGACGATTAACGTGTCTAGTAAAAATCGTTTTTCTATGGCAAAAAATGCTTTATTTCAATTTAATTTGACTAATTCTTTTATTTAGGTAAACCGCAGAACTACTGGGTATCCGGATTTTTCTTCACGCAAGCATTTTTGACGGGAGTCAAGCAAAATTACGCCAGAAGGAATACGATAGCTATTGATAAGTTGACATTCGATTTCGAGATAATGTCGCAAGATATGTACGAACATGCTCCAGTCGAGGGGGCCTACATTTATGGATTGTTCAGCGACGGTGCCAGATGGGACAGAGAAGTTGGGCTTTTAGCGGAACTTCATCCTAAAATACTGTACGACGTTGTGCCGGCTATTTGGCTGAAACCGATACTGGGCGTTGACTATGATCCAGGTAAATTCATTTTATACTATGTGATTTGTGGTTCATTAGGTCAGGTTTGTACAACTAAGGGTCAGTTTAAACAAAAACGTAGTCCAAGAAAGGATGTGGGCAAAGGAATGTATAGTGACGTAGGCGGGCCAAATTGTAAAGGGACAAAGGGGCCAAGAAAATGACAATGGCGGGCCGTATGTTGTGCTGGTTTGCATTGTAATGAGTCACTCATTATTTACAACTAATATATAGGGTGATTTATGTAAGAAATATGACGCAGGTGCTCTATAATACAATACCCAACGTATTTAAGTGATATACCCGTTTGAAAAAACCGTGATAGTACGCAAGAAAATGTTTGCTCATAACTCGAAAAGTATTTGTCAGTTTTTACCTATTTTGTTTTTATTTACTAGGTGATTTAATACTCTAATTACATTTAATCTAGGTAACAGGTTTGAGCGGAATCCATATTTTCAAATATATTGCAAGCACAGTAACATCAAAATCTTGCAAGCTTTTTAATTTATTAAACATTAATGGTGGGTGGTGGCATTTGTAAATATCAAAACCAAAGCTTGCTTGGATGGATAAAGTTCTGTTTTAGTGATAAATATATAGATCCACAAATTTAAAGGATCAATAACTGAATATTATTTGTAGGCACCAGATATCTTTCTCCAGTATACAAAACGTCAGAAAGAAGAGGTACACTGTCGACCACAGGCCACTCCACCAACTACGTGTTACCGATTCTATTGGACACAGATAAAGAAATAGCTCACTGGGTCAAACGAAGTGTCGCATGTCTTTGTCAATTGAATTAAAAACGACTTTGTATATTCACATACATTTTTATTTAGTTATTAAATATTGTACAGTACATAGTGCGCTGTTTTAATTTTTTTATAATAATAATTTCTTGGTTGGTATTACTTTTCTTGTCTAGGCAGTAAAATGGTATTTATGTCTCATATGGCAACATAATATAAATTTAAAATTTAAAAAATCATTTATTGCGCTATTAGAAATTCGTAGAAATTCGTAGAAATTCGTAGAAATTTATAGAAATTCATATAAATTTATGAAAATTCATAGAAATTCATAGAAATTTATAGAAATTCATAGAAATTTATAGAAATTCGTAGAAATTCATAGAAATTCATAGAAATTCATAGAAATTCATAGAAATTCATAGAAATTCATAGAAATTCATAGAAATTCATAGAAATTCATAGAAATTCATAGAAATTCATAGAAATTCATAGAAATTCATAGAAATTCATAGAAATTCATAGAAATTCATAGAAATTCATAGAAATTCATAGAAATTCATAGAAATTCATAGAAATTCATAGAAATTCATAGAAATTCATAGAAATTCATAGAAATTCATAGAAATTCATAGAAATTCATAGAAATTCATAGAAATTCATAGAAATTCATAGAAATTCATAGAAATTCATAGAAATTCATAGAAATTCATAGAAATTCATAGAAATTCATAGAAATTCATAGAAATTCATGGAAATTCATAGAAATTCATAGAAATTCATAGAAATTCATAGAAATTCATAGAAATTCATAGAAATTCATAGAAATTCATAGAAATTCATAGAAATTCATAGAAATTCATAGAAATTCATAGAAATTCATAGAAATTCATAGAAATTCATAGAAATTCATAGAAATTCATAGAAATTCATAGAAATTCATAGAAATTCATAGAAATTCATAGAAATTCATAGAAATTCATAGAAATTCATAGAAATTCATAGAAATTCATAGAAATTCATAGAAATTCATAGAAATTCATAGAAATTCATAGAAATTCATAGAAATTCATAGAAATTCATAGAAATTCATAGAAATTCATAGAAATACATAGAAATTCATAGAAATTCATAGAAATTGACAGAAATTCATATCCAGTCTGACAAACCAATAAACAATTTTCTTAAAAGCTGGTAAAAATAGTATACATTCATTTTTACTGGAAGTAGATGTCTAGTTTATTATTTTAAATGGGACACCTGTTTTTATTCCGGATTCCGATAGAACATAAAATTTCAGACTTTAAATAGATCGCCAATTGACTCCATCTCTACGATAATTGACTCCATCTCTACGATAATTGCCTCAAAATTGGCAATAAACATTAAATGTCCGATTTATATATGTATGGGTCTATCTCTACTTAAAAAATGTTGATAATCATTTTTCGATATTCCAAATTTTGTGCTACTGATCTTTCGGATATCTTCGCTGCCAAGTTCACATCGTTAAAAATATTATCCAATTTAGAGGGTGATTTCTACCCCTTTGGAATATTCAAAACTATAAACGCTTTAATATGTTATTTCCACATATTAAAATTATTGTACACCCTATTAATTTTATTTTGTTACGTCCTTATAAATCTGGATATACAATTATTTATTATTACCGGGTAAATTCTACCCCTTTGGCGGTGTATAAAAGACTGCACTCTTAAGTTTGGTCTACCGTTTTCGCACCTATGGTGAAAATTCATTATAGATTTAGGTACCTACCCTGTCGGTACAAATGTATTACAAACACAAACCAGCCTTTCATGAAAGTAAATGTAATTGATTTTTGAAGAAAAACTTTTGAATATTGATCTGTTATTAATTAGACATTTTTGCAAA